CAAGAGAACACGCAGGTGGGGTCTGCAGCCTCTGAGCACAGGGTGTGTGTGGGTGTTTGCCTTGTCCTCGGGGCCACTGGGAAACCTGGTGACTTGTCCCCCCAAATGTGCTCTGCAGCACAGGCGCTGCCCCAGGTGGGCCTGGCTTCGCTGACTTGGCCACATTTGGCCTCAGACTGTGACAAACACTAGGGTTCTTGGTGCCCTAGGAGGTCGTCAGGCGGCCCCCAAAGGGGAAGTGGCGACAGACTGTGACAAACACTAGGGTTCTTGGTGCCCTAGGAGGTCGTCAGGCGGCCCCCAAAGGGGAAGTGGCGAGGAGCGTCGCCTCGTTGACGGAGAAGGGGAAGGGTTGGCAGGATCAGGGCAGAGTGAGGAACTCGGGGCTCTGTCACGGGCCCGCCAGCAGCTGACTGAGCCTGCAGTTGGTGAGCCTGTCCTGTCTTTTGAGTTCTTGTCCCCAAAGGTTTTTTTTTTTTTTGTTATATTTATTTATTGAATCACCGTGGGAAAAGTTACCAAGCTTTCAGGTTTAAGTCTCGGTCATACAATGATCAAACACCCCTCCCCTCACCAGTACTCATTTTTCACCACCAAGAACCCCAATGTACCCCCCTCCCACCCCTCCCGATGCCTGAGAGGCAGATGATTTCTACTGAACTCTCTACTTTGATTACATTATTTTGACAAAAGATGCACTGTTTAGAATCCCCCCCCCGCCCCCCAACAATCAGAACTGCTGAAAAGGCATTGTGAAATAATTTGTTTTCTATAGCTGGTTATGAAAATCATATGTTCTTGCTTGGCCGCGATAGCGGCTGTGCGATTTTGGATTCTGATATTTTACTAATTTAAGTCTGGAGGGATTTCTGCCAAGAGACAGATAATTACAAGATTGGTTTCTGTGTGTCTGGTGCCATGGCCATGCTGGAGAGCCACTTGTGGGGGGCAACTTGTGGCCTCAGTAGGGCTTGAAGGATGAGCTGGTTCCGCCCCCCATCCTATGAGGCTGCAGCTGCCCCGTCACCACCGGCTCATACCTGGCTTTCCAATAAGCTCTGAGGCAGCGGCCACCTTGCTGCCGGGGGGCGGAGGGAGGCAGAAGGGACAGACACTCTTTCCCTCCCGTTGTCCCTGAAGTTCAGGGTTTGCATCTGTGGCCCCCCACTGTGGCAAGAGTGCTGCCTTGGGCTCTTGGCTTCATGCTGAACTAATGCCAGGTGGCAGCAGGTGTCGGCCACTTCTCTGCCACCAGAGACCAAGGCCTGGTTCCTGATGGTGATACCATTCACTGCTTAGCTTGTCCAGTCATGGGGTTTGGCGGGGGTGAGGGGAATAGGGGGGAACCTAGGGGGGCACTTGGAAGGGTCCCAAGGTATCTGCACAAATAGCTGGGGGGCCCTGGGGCTGTCCAGTGTGGGCTGGAACTGTGACCAGCTCAGAGTCACCTCCTATGTGGGTTCTAGCTGGACTGTGAACAGGTGAAGGCCACGGAGTGCTGGGGGTCACACATAGCTGGGGGTGCAACGAGCTTCCCATGCAAGCAAAGTAGGCATGCCTGGCCCGTCACCCCAGCCCCGTTTGCAATCCTAAGCGCGGAATCACGACTCTGCCTTTTCCCACCATCTGTCCTGTCTCTTCCCATCACGCACGGATAAGTCATGGCAAATGACGGGACCTCAGTGCCAGGCGGGCGAGTGTCCTGGTTTGGGATGGGAGCGGGAGAAGTATTTGACTTGGAAAATAATGCTGTTCATCCTAGGCACAAAAAAGCTTTGTGTCTTACGATTCTTTCATTGCCAGTGAAAAAAAGTAGATAGATAGAAATGATAAAGGTTTTGCCAGCATGAGACAAAGGATTTAAAATATGGGAGATGACAAAATGAGCCTCAACAGGCCTTTGGTTTCCTAACACGCCCAAGCCTTTGCCAGCTGCGGTGTGAACTGAATCTTCTGGTCGAGATGAAACTGCAGGTGAGGATGTGTGTGACAACTGGCCCCAAATCTCTGCACTCGGCCCATTTCTACTGAAGCCTGTTGTATGTAAGACCAGCTTTGATGGTCAGCACTGATTAGTGCAATGCAAGGTGGGCTGTTTCACGGACACACAGCCCGCGCTGGGTAAGGGCACACCAGCTGAGGCAGGGCCCCTGCGCGCCTTAGCCTGACAAGTTTGAAGAACATGCCCAATACACCGGTTGAGTCTTTGCTTCGGATGAGCAAGATTCTGGGGTTCCAGTATGAGGAAAGGCCCTAGAGATTCTTTCTCATGCCGGTTCTATCCTCTTTCTGAACTGGAACTTCCCCAGAGTTGGGTGCTATGGAGGTGTGTTCAGGTTGCCCCAGGTGCTGCTGAGATGTCGTGGGGGCAGGATTCTGGCCTCAGTGGTTGAACGAGAATTCAATGACACATTTTGGGCCTTGCTGCTGTCACCTGGCTGACAACAGAGTGTTTCTGTGGACGGTGAGAGAGCCACAGGGCCAGGAACTAGGGTGCTGGGGTGGATGCCGGGGGAAGAGCAGGACGTGGGGCCCTCTGAAGGCGGGACAGGCTGGAAGGCTCCGCTCAGGAATGCTGCCCACAGGACGCCTCTCTTCCTCTGGCCGCTTCCTGCATGAGGAGGGGCGGAGAGAGGGATTCCAAGAGAGAACTCCCAAAGCCAGCAAAAGAAAGGTAGCACAAAGAATGTACAGGCTCCTCATAGTTTATTTGAGTTATTTTCAAGCGACAGTTACAAAAGTTTTTAATTTTTATAATACTCTTGATAAGAAAATAAAATTTAAATAAAAATACATTCTGAACATCACACATTGGTCACACGAGTTCACTAGAGTCTTGATAACTTACATTTATTTGAACTGGACACTGTAAAAACTAGTATTTCCTAGCAACACAGTAATTCCCAAGTTAGCAAAAATGAAAGCCACTAATACTAATCCTGGTCACTGTAGGGTCCACGGAGTCCCAAGGGCCTGAAGGGATGCTCTTCCCAAAGCTGACAGATGGACTCAGGCTTCAGAAACAAACATCGCATTGTCACTTTTTCCTTTTTATTTTTTTATTTTTTAAAAAATATATGTAGATAGAATAAGGTAAGCCGAGATTTGACACTTAACCATTTACCCGTGATATTAGAAACATTTCTTTGGCAAATAAAATAGTTCAGTTTGATACACAATCTTCCTTTGAGTTAAAAAGAAAATACCAGAAAAAACAGAACTGCAGCTGCCCATCGTCTTACTAAATGAGTATTAAAAAAACACAGTTAAACAACGGAAACAATGCAACGACGACAACGCAAGCAACACACTGACCACATGTCACACTGATGGACATGGCTGGAGTAAGACCCGGAAGTGCCTCCGATGGCGAGAGTTCCCCCTGCCCCCCGTCCTTGCTCCTCGGGGTTTTCAGGTCGGAGGGTGAAGTGAGCTGCCGAGTGATTTTTCAAGTGAGGAAAAGGCAGAGAAGCAGGTTCAGGCGGCAGAAGCCCGAGGCCTTCTCAGGGAGGCGGCCTGTGAGGACGAAGCACTGGCCTCGCCCGCAGACCGGGCAGAGGCGCTGCTTTCCGGGGAATCTCAGCAACTACGATGCGTTAAAATTCACAGAATGTTTCAGACTCTGCCAAGGGGTTGATGCTGCCCCCCCCCCCCCCCCCCCCCCCCGGCAACTGGAAACAACCAGCTGACTGGTCTCTTCCCTTCCAGGGGCACACAGCCTGGGCGTCTGGGATCCGGCCGTGATCTTGAGAAATGGAAGGACGGCTCTGATATTGGAGCCGACCAGTCTCTTCCCCTAAACACCACAGGACTAAACAAACCAACCCCGAGAGTAGTGAGTGGTACTTGGCCAGGCCCATGGGCACTCTGCAGGGACTAGAACGAACTTCAGCAAGGAGCAGCTGATTAAAAGGGCAGGAGCATTCACATTTATGGTTGCAGTGGAGCGGATGGAATCTACGTCTAAGGGACCTGGCGAACTTCCCTCTAAAACTGTCCCACGGTGCTGGCGAGTACTGATTCCTACATCAAGCATCTGAGGGTGTGACTGAGGAGAGAAACCTACTATGCAATCACCATCATTTGTGGAGCAAAAATGTTCTTAAATACGGCTTGAGTTATAGCTTATGCTCAGGGAAAAAAACAGAAACAAAAACAAAAACAAGCACTACTGGCTAGACTTACAATAATAAGTCACAGTTTTCAACAGGAATACGTGTAAATACTCTAAGGTTTGAAGTACCACATTTAGAAACTGTCTTCTGAAAGACAAAATAAGAGTACCATGAATTTAATACTGACGAAGCACGAGTGTTTCCCTCTTCAAGAGGGTGACTTGCTTAGGCGATGATTTCCATTCAGGCTTTTAGGGTGCGCATAAATTCCGGAAAAACTGAGGACTAAAACAGTTGCTCGCCCAAATTCCATTTGGCTTAGCAGGCAATAAGGAAACGGTAATGAACTATAAACATTTTCGGAATAGCAGTATTTCTAGACAAACAGTGATCATTCAACTGATCATTAAGATTCGATACCACGGAGTATCAAGTATAATCTGGGGCTGCCAGATTAGTAAAGTGCGCCGAGTGACTGCTGCCTCAACTTCCCGCCAGGCGGCCCTCGGAGTGAGCCGGAGGACTCGGTGAAGTCCAGAGAGTTCCCCGCCACCTTCCTGCCCGGCTCGCTTCCTCAGGCGCGCCCACCTGAACGCTCACAAACAAACAAACAAAACCCCAAACGAGTACCTAATGCCTCAGCCCAGGAGAAAGCGTTTAGTGATCCGATTCTTTCCTCTGCCGTCCATCACTCATCCCACACGTACGAGAGCTGCCCGCGCCCGGGTGTTCCCTGCTTCCTCCCTCGGAGGCGCGCTCGGCTGACACCTCCTGAGAGGCCACGACCCAGCGACCCCCGTGGACATGCTGCAGTAGCCTTGAGTTCCTGTCGCTGGCCCCCGGGTGAGCTGCGATGAACGATGGACCAGAGGAATCTCTCTCTTCTTTTCCTTCTTTCTTCCAGAGAGGGAGGGTCTAGATGAACTGCACGGAAAGCTCTGGAGTGTCACGGACTGGGGGTTTCCTAGCTGGATATGATGTTGGCAGTATAGAGCAGGCACTAATGGTAGTGAGAGTCCACGGAACAAACATGGAGTGTTACAAGGAGAGACGGTTTCTTGCTATGGTGGAGTTTTCTTTTTGTTATAAAGCTTCTTTAGAGAAGATCCTTTCTATTAAAAAAATTGCAGAACCATGGCTTTTGACACATAAAATATGAAGGGATTCTTAGGCTTCAATTTCGCCATTAATACATCAATACCAAGATTCCCCAGTAATCTCAGTTATTAAATATTAAATACAATGTAAATGTGGGTGACACGGAAGCCAACGTTCATTCTTAAATACTTTGAACAAAATATGACGAATCAAAAAATACCAACAAAAATATCTTCCAGTTCTTCTGAATCGACTGGTTAAATCTTAAGAGGTCTTCCCAACGATTGGATTCTCCCTAGAAGAGAGAAAAATAAAATCACTAAAAGAGTAACATTCCCAACATGTAGCAGATAGCTCATCTTATCCATACATTATCTGTAACTTTTTCTGGATATTCCCCCTTGGCATGTTTGATTTTACGAATCCAGCAAGCGCAAACCCGACCAACCATTATATGCCAGGCTCTATTCCCAACATGTTGCAGGTGCAGCCACCAACAGGAGATAGAGGACCCCGTGGTGCTGAAATTCTGACATAGGAGGGTATAATGGGGCAGCACCAGGGACGTGCCGCTCAAGAGGGGAGCGAAGCTGGAGAGGCACGGGGCAGGGGGGTCCAGCCTCGGCTGGAAGCTGCTAAGGGAACTTCCCAGGCTCCTGGGGACCTGGGTCACAGTGCAGAGAGGAGGGTTAGGATGTCTCAGAGCCACCCGTCAAGCGGACCTGTGTCCTGTGGTGCTGGCACAGGTGAGAGCTCAGGGCCAAGGCTTGACCCGCCCACCTGGGGGTGGCCCCAGGCCCCTCAAGCCCCAAATAAACTCATCATTTTAAAGGAATACTTCAACTAGGGAGTAGGTGGGAAGTGAACTCAGAGCCCGGGTGGGCGCTGGGCTTCTCGGACCCTCTGCGTCCAGAGCTCCGTGCTGGTCAAGAATCATACCCCGAGCTGCTCTGTGTGGTGGGAACCCCAGTTCCATGACAGGGCCAGGCAGCTGGAAATCGGGGCCCTCTTCCCACCCTTTCTCGCGAGACTGCTGTGAGCAGTGAGCCTGGGTCCCCATCGGGACTGGAGAAGGGGCTGAGTGAGCAGATGGCCCCGATTACAGGGCCCAGCTGCTGTCTCAAACTGACTGGAGAGCTCAGGGCTTTATCTGTTCCCTGTGTGAAGGCGAGCTGGGTCCCCGCCTGTTAAACTAAGGCTCTCGTCCCCATATGGGGCTTCTTGCAATTAAAAAAAAGTTTACACAATGCCCCCAAATAAGAGAGAGAATATTGGGGAAACTGTCTGCCACAGAGGCAGGGTGAGGACTGCGATGTGGGTGGTGGAAAATGTGCCCTGGTGGAGGGATGGGAGTTCCATCATTGTATGGCTGAATCTCAAACACGAAAGCTTTGTAATTCTATCTCACGGTGATACAATTAAAAAAAGAAAAAGTAATATGGAGTTCATGCCCAATTCAATCACCTTAATCAATAGCAGTCTTCCTACATTATTAAAAAAGTTTTAAAGTAAGTTCTTTTACCGACAATTCATTAGCGCTAAACGTTTGAATTTATGCTCTTATTTTGTAAATCTATTAACCAGGGTCATGCGTGAATTTCTTCACTGCTGAGGAAGCGTTCAAGAAGCCAAGAAGTATGCAATACCATGAATGATAGTGGAGGAGCCCATCAGAAGCGACACCGAAGGACCAACATGACAGAAAGAGAAAGACTGACACGGGTCTGAGCTGGACCGGAAGGACGAGCCAGAGACTCTGTACAAGAGAATCTCAAATGATGCTGCAAAACAACACGTCGAAACGCCTCCGCGGATACTTACTTGCTCCCATATTTGGCGCTACTCGATCTTTTCTTCCTGTACTTTTCATGAGGCTCATCTAACTTCTCTATGAGGCTTTTTATTTGCTGAATCGTCTTGAAGGTTGTCACGGAATCCTCAATGACAAAGTTGGAATAGTCATCAGGCTCTTTCTGAGGCCCCTGATAGACCGCGATGGTTCCACAGGCCTCTGGAGAAACAGGAACGCCTCTGTGAGCCCACCCAGCATCACCAGGGCCGACCATATTACAAACCAGAATTTCTCAAGAGCCCCAACTTGGGAGGTTTCCTGAGAACCAGACAACGTTAGTCTTTTGAGAAAACAGTGTTTTCACTTCATGGAATTCTACAGAAAAACATTTTCTTTTAGGCTTTCATCGAAGTAAACCTATGATACTGACAAACAATGTCAAAACAACACTTAGGAATTATCAAGGATCTTAGTTATTTAAAAATATTTCAAGTGTCCACTTACCTTCCATTTTCTGCAGCTTAGGCATATTGAGGTTGAAAAGGGAATAGATCCGTTCTGTTTCTCTGTCCTCATCAATGTCTATCTGGATGTCTGCGGGGATGCCGCTGATAAAAACAAAATGGAAGACATTGGAACACTGTACTTTGTTAACATGCCAAAGACTTTGGATGGTTTCTGACTAACACCAGAATCATAGGGTTTTGCAGAAGGAACAGAGTTCCAGAAAAGGAAGTCAAGGAGGATTTGGCGGTTAGCAGGTCTAACTAGGAGGAAAGGAGTTGGGAAACTTTGCTCACACGCTCTGCCACTAAAGCAATGTGTCACTCCTCAGGGAAGTAGGAGCATGGAGTGAGAGAAGGCTCGGTGCTTCTTCCTTGCTGCCCTGCTTAGGCATGCACAGGGAATTACACGTCCCTTCTCCCGCCCAGCCCCCCCCCCCCCCGCTCCCCTCCTGACCTCCGCACCCACCACTGGGGAACACTTTCATCACCCCAAAAGAAATCCCACATCCATCAGCACACCAGTTCCTCAAGACCACTAATTTACTCTCTGTGTTTCTCCACGCTGTCTATTGAGATGCCCTCCATGAGGGATGCTATTTAGTATTTGGCCCCTCTGCCTCGTTTCCTTCACTCAGCAGGTGCTCCTTTTTAAAAAATTTCTTTTTGGGCCACACCCAGCAATGTACAGGGGCACTCCTGGCTCTGCACTCAGGAATTATTCCTGGCGGTAGTCGGGGGACCAAATGGGATGCTGGGAATCAAACCCGGGGCGGCCGTGTGCAAGGCAGACGCCCTCCCCGCTGCAGTCCCACTCAGCGGGTGTTCAAGGCTCCACTGTGTCAGGGCATGCATCAGCACTTGCTGCCATTTCTTGAGCAGACTACGGACATGCCACTGTGGGAACCCTGCTTTCCTCATGCTGGGAGGCCCCAACTTACGCTGTGCACGGCTTGCAGCCCAGGGTGCTCTCGCTCGTCTCCTGGCAGCAGAGCCAGTTTCCGTTGAGATAGGCCGCGGGATGGTACACGCTGAGCCTGTTCTGGTTGCACCGGCTCACACGGCACAGCACGTCAATCCACTCGTTTGCTTCCACACAGTTGTTGGCTTGCACGTAGAGTGGTTTCTCCGTGTGTATGACCTGGAACATCTGGATCAGCAATTAAGATAAAAGAGTTAGTGGCCAGAAAGTGAGATGCCAAAATAAAAAGGGGGGGTGGGGTGTCCTAGACCAGGCACATGGTTCCTCAGGTTGGCACCTACAGCTCAGAAACCCATGATTCCTTTGCAGGTTAGTGCTACGGATGATTTGAACCACATGGCGTTAAGCAGTACTGTAGCACTGGAGCACTGTCCTCCCGTTGTTCATCAATTTGCTCGAGCGGGCCCAGTAACGTCTCCATTGTGAGACTGTTACTGTGTTTGGCATATCGAATACGTCACGGGGAGCTTGCCAGGCTTTGCCGTGCGGGTGAGATACTCTCGGTAGCTTGCTGGGCTCTCTGAGAGGGGCGAAGGAATCGAACCCGGCTCGGCAGGGCCAGCTGCACGCAAGGCAAACGCCCTACCACTGTGCTATAGCTCCAAGCCACAGTTTGTCCAAAGGAACCAACTGACCCAACAACTGGGATGGAGAGAGTTTCAGATGGAGGACAAAGCGTGAGGGAAGGAAAAGCAGTGGGAAAGTGTGAAAAGAAAGAGTCTTCGGCTGGCTTGAGTGACGGCATAACATGGAGTGGCAGCAGATCAGTTCGAACAACTGGTTTCGACTAGACAAACTTTCCAACTTGAACATCGAGCTGCAAAATCCGAGACAACACTGGGAAAATAGCTTTAGCTTAACAGGCTAAGAACAGTATGACTGCATCAACAATAATAATTTCGAGACAAGATTAGTCAGCAACGGATCATTCATTAATGACTAATGGCAAAAAAAAATACTGACGTGGAACTTAAAATGCTTTATTAAATATTTATGTGACTTACGTTTTTCTTGTTGAAAGAGCTCTCTTCCAGTTTTTCCACAGCAAGAATGTTCTTCACTGGAATTGTGTAAATTGCATCTTTGCCTAAATGAGAACACAAGCAGGATCCATTTAAAATGCAATAGAATCACAGGGCAGAGAGACGAGGCTTCGTAAAGCCTGCACCCATCTTCCGAGTGGAACACATACATAGTCGATTTTACAGAACAGATGAATTTTGATTTCTGTGGTGACTTCCTCTTTAAAGTAAGTTTTAAAATATCCAGGCAAATGTGAGAAAACCAATTTGATCTCTATCTAGGGAATAAAAACATTGTGTTTCCTAACAGTGGTTATATGAGGACTGAAGAAATTAATCTACTTAGTAACAGAGACCCACTCAATACTTGCCAGTAATTTGCTTCACTGTAGCATTATGCAAACAATGAATCCGAGGATTCCTATTTTTGTGTTTTTCCAATCTAAAATTTAATGAAGGGGCTAACTCTCAAAAACACTGATTTAAAGTGATAAAATGTCCATTACTAGCACATACCGGCTAGCGGGGTGCCTAGAATTACCAAAACGATTCTAAGAAATACAGGAAGAGCAAAAGACAAACCCAAATGGGGTGAATCCTTAGCTTAAGAACTTGACATTGGGGGCCAGAGACAGTACACCGGGTGAGGTGCTTGCCCAGCACCTGCTGACCCCATTCAATCTCCAGTCCCTCACAGGGTGCCCCAGCACCTCCAGGAATGATCCCTCAGTGCAGAGCCAGGTGTGAGACCTGGGCGCAGCTGAGTGTGGCCCCACCCCCAAAAAAACTTCAAAAGAAAAATGTGAGAAGTTGAGGACAGTTTAGCCTGCTAAAGGGGGGAGGGTCCAGAACAATAGTCCAGCGGGGAGGGCGTTTGCCCTGCATGCGGCCAACCTGGGTTCAATCCCCCGCATCCCGTATGGTCTCCCAAGCACCGCCAGGAGTGACTCCCGAGTGCGGAGACAGGAGTAGCCCCTGAGCATGGCTGGGTGTGACCCAAAAATCCAAAAATAAAATAAAAATAAAGAAAATAAAGGAACTCTGTGGTAATACAGCTCAAGAATAGGAAGAACTTCACCTGTTTTTAAGAATAGTTGTATGAATGTAAGAACACACGTATGAAATATAACGATAACCTTTTATTGTCATTTTGTAACTTATTCTTAGAAAATCAAAGCTTTGCTTTCCCCAGCCACCTCAGGAAATCTGTATAATGGTATGTGGACTGAAGTGCTGTGGGTTAAGATCCTTACTCTTTTTTTTTCATTTTTCTTTTGGGGGGCACACTGAGCAGTGTGTGGGGAACTTGGGGGTACTGGAACTGAGCCTGGGATGGCTGAGTGCAAGGCAAGCACTTTACCTGCTTGTACTTTATTGCCCGTCCTAAAATCTTCACTTTTTTTTTAGCCACACCCAGCAATGCTCAGGGGATCATACGGGATGCCAGGGATAAGAGGCAAGCACCATCCCTGCTATACCATCTCTTGGTCCCCAGATTTTCACACTTTAAATTAGTCTATGAATTAATGTATAATGTTTTGGTCAAATACAGTTATTTGGAGAATAAAGGTTTCTGGTCTTGAATAGAGAAGTTAAGAGTTTTTCCTAAGCCTATTTCTGGTATGGGACCTGACATGTGTGTAATAAAGCAGAAATAATTTCCCAAAGAGATAAAATCACTAATTCAACCGTTATCTGTTAAACGTCTCCTTCACAGCAGTGTTCCACTTAATACGGTGTTCTACTTACTAAGGAAAAGATAAATTCCTTAATGATATCTTGGGAAGTCAGCTTAATTAATTGGGTGGCTAGGAAAACTGTTTCTGAGGAAATGACGTCTTACTTCAAAAGCAAACAGAAATGCATGGGAAAACAGGCCCAGACTACTGGAAGTTTCCTGGAAGCAAACAGGACCACGCTGAAGGGGTAGGGTGGCAGCCACAGCCTGGGCACGTGGAGGGAGAAGAGCGTCAGAAGCTGGGGCAGCTGCTGGGGAGTCAGGACTCGGGGGGAGCTGCATCTAGACCAGCGGGGCTGCCCGGCGGGTCCTCAGCCAGCGACCCTGCCAGGCACAGATCTCAAGCTCAAGCAGTGGGAGGTGGCCTGAGCCCGAGAGGGGAGAGCAGCCCGCACCCCAGCAGGCAGATGCCAGCACCCCGCGCCTACAGCAGCCCGGGCCCTCACTCCCCACTGCTGGCATGAGCACCACGACACTCAGCAGTGAATGGACAGAGAACACACGCGTCACCGCAGCAGCGTCACCCAGCAGGAGACAGTCGCCTCTGGGGGGCAGGGAAGGGGCCAGGGGTCTACCCCATGGGGCCCCGCAGCTTCCCAGAGCCTTGTTTAAGTGCAGCAGGAATTTCCAGCTTCAGATTTTGTAACTAAGTGTACTTAGTCAAAAGCTGCTGGTTTTGTGACACACACGAACGCAGACACACTCTGCCAGCAGGATACCAAGGGGCTCACTTCAAGCCAACGGGGAGAGCTGGAATGAACTGAGGGGTGAATTAGCAAAACGGAAGAGCTAAGTTGAGGATTCTCGAAAAACACAGTAGAAAAGGAGGAAAGGAGAAAGTAAAAATGTTAGTTGCCATGGCAGATGGACTCCAAGGTTTTATTGCCCATCTGAAAAGCATTTCTGAGACACTGGTGAGGGGAAAGTCACCCATGAAAATGTCTAAGAGGCAAAGGCAGGCTCCTTTGATGAGGGTGTGTCAAGACTGACAGGATGAGAGGGGCAAGACAAGGCAACTGAGGCCTCGCAATGGCCCAAGATTTCCACAGAGGAAACTCAGACTGAGCAGTGAACAGGCATTCGAGCAACACACGCTAGCAACACAAGCTGGCCCACCATGGGCTGACCTCTTCAAGGCTCCAAGGGAAACGGCTTCAAGCCCAGCCCATCATCCGCAGGTAGGATTCACATTTATGAACCATAAAGCCTCTCTGAAAAGCTGCTGAAGTTCTTATGCAAAAGAAATAACAAAACCCAAGAAAAACACAAGTGTATCACATTAGAGACAGTGACAAGCAAAGAAATTTTAAACAACACAGATAAACCCAAGAGAAGGTGACTAGAGCCTCATGTTAAAGGGCAGAAGAGTTTTGAAGTCCCAGATGGCCGGCAGATGCGAGGCAAAGAAAAGACAGGAATGGTCCCGCCAAGCTTGACTGGAGATTTTGACTGCTGATGCGAGACAGGAGCTTCAATTCTCTGTTAGAGACATGAAAGCAGAGGACGGGAGCCCTAATCCTCACTTCAGAGCTGGGTCCCCGCCGTGGAGAGGTTGCGGTGGGGACATGGCAGCTTCAGGAACAAAAGGACAAGAGTGGGTGGTGCTGAGTAAGTGGTTTTACTTCTGCAAAGGGTGCAGGTCAAGAGGCTGCACCGGACACTGTGTTTGATCATCCCAATGACGAGACTGAGAAAGGAAACATATCTCGCCAACAGAAAACACAGCAGCCAACACAGTTACCACAGAAATGGAAACACACTCAATTTCCCTAGCAAGTGGAAAGGTTTGTAATGGGGAAATAATTTTGTTTTTTTAATGAAAGATAACGGTTTTAATGGTTCTTAATAAAAAACAATATCTCCTTAGTAAGCTGGACAGTCACTGTATGACTAATTCGGACCCTCGTAACCTGAAGCAGTGGTCTCAAACTGTCTCACTGCCAAGCTCTGGCCCTGCTCCTTGGCTGTCAGCTGAAAACCAGTTAATCAGCAATGACTTTTTTCCCCACATAGACCTGGCAGGACATTTCTCTGGTCTACAGGTAAGTGGTTAAAAATCGCGACCCGAGAGCCAGGACAGAGCCCAGTGGCTGGAGCACATGCCCTGGAGGTTACAGGCCAGAGTTCAAGTTCAACCCGAACAACACACGAACCTCCCCCAAACAAATGGCCCCCAGCACCACTGGGCCTGACCATGGGATCACCAGGCCCCCATAGTCAGCCAAGTATCACTAGAAGTGACCCCTCATTCACACAGAAACTTGTATGTGGCTCTTTACTGCAGTGTTTGGTATATATCCACACAGTGGCGCGTCATTCGGCCGCCAAAGGAATCATTACTGATTCCTGCTATGTTCTGAAGTCTGAAAGCAGTGTGCCAATTTAAGCCAGTCAGAAAAGGCTAAAAATAATGATTCCATTTATATGAAATATGCAGAGGATCGGGCAGCAGGGGCGGGGAGGGGAGAGGAGGGAGAGAGTGACTGTCAATGGTACAGGGCTTCTCTCTGGACGATGTAAAGAAAATCAACAAGTGTATGCTCTACAAGGGTGAATTTTATGGCACGTAAATTCTGTTACAAAACATTACGTAGCTCAAGAAAAACAGTTCAGCTCTACACTAGCCCCAAATACGCAACAGACAGGGCACAGTGGGAGTAAGCATTTGGGTGTGCTGGGATGCGAACCCCAAGGCCAGGTAAGTGCCCTAGCACGGAGCGACATCCCAGGCCCCACAGACTTTACTTAAAAAAATAAAATAGACATGGAAGGAAGATGATGGACAGAATAACAGGGTCAAGATTTCATTCCTCAGGAAGTGTGAAACAGAAAATCATTAGGAGCTACTGTGGTGCACTAGGAACTCATTCCAAACAGACCCAAGGGACACGTCTAGTCATGGGAAGGCTGTTCATGAAGGGCAAGTCAGCCCCCAGTGAGCCGTCTAGACTTGGGGACACTCTAATCAGAAACAGCAGCACGACCCATTGACAGAGGGGTGGGACAGGGTGAAAAGTGGAGACGACGGGAAGAGATTTGAGTATGAGTCTAGGCACGACCAAATTAGCTGGCCGCTTTCCCTCCCTTTCAGGAACAAAAACACTTGGCGCGGTGTGCACATCTCCAGCTTCTCTAAGGAACTACAAGAAACTTCAGCTTCCTTCCTGCCCCAAACTGACCCAGAGCTGCTAGCTACAATGCACTCCCTACAACGTCCAGATTTATTTATTTTTTGCTTTTTAGATCACACCCGGCTGTGCTCAGGGGTTAGTCCTGGCTCTGCACTCAGGAATGACTCCTGGCGGTGCTCAGGGGACCATATTTGATACTGAGAATCGAACCCGGGTTGGCTGCATGAAAGGCAAACACCCTACCCGCTGTACTATCGCTCCAGCCCCTGATTTCCAGTTTTTTTTTTAAATGTAGGAGTACTGCTATTTATTCAGCCACTGATTAGCTGACTGAATTGGGCATGAACTCTACCCTACTTTTTTTTCATAGTTTTATTTATTTTTCGTTTTATATTTATTTATTGGATCACTGTGGGAAAAGTTACAAAGCTTTTAGGTTTAAGTCTCGGTCATACAATGATCAAACACCCCTCCCCTCACCAGTACTCATTTTTCACCACCAAGAACCCCAATATACCCCCCCTTCCACCCCACCCAATGCCTGTGAGGCAGATGATTTCTTCTTAACTCTTCTCTACATTGATTACATTCATCATTTTGATAAAAGATGCACCATTATTGTTTAGAATTTCGCCCCCAACAATCAGAATTGCTGAAAAGGAATTCTGTAATTGTGAAATACTCTGTTTTCCATAGCTGGTTATGAGAATCATATAATGTTGCGCAGTCGCTATTGCGACCATGCAATTTTGGATTTCTGCAAAGAGCCAGATAATTACGAGACTGGTTTCTGTGCATCTGGTGTTATGGCTGTGCCGGAGAGCCGCTCGTGGGGGCTAACTCAGGACCTCGGTAGGGCGTGAAGGACGAGCCCGTACAGCCCCCCTTCCCATAAGACTGCAGTTGCCCTGTCACCACCGGCTCATACCTGGCTTTCCAATAAGCTCTGAGGCGGCAGCCACCTTGGTGCCGGGGTGAGAAAGGCAGAAGGGAGCAACATCCTTTCCCTCCCGGGGAGGCATGCGCTGTAGTTTAATGCATGGTCCATTCACTTTTCTGCCGCAAGCTGCCGGGCTCTGGATTAAGTCCTTTTGCCTCTGGAGCCATGGCCGTGTATGCGGTCCAGATGCATTTCTGCCAAAAGCCACTGGGTTTCGAGATTTGTTTCTGAGTCTCTGGGATCATGGCCATTAAGCAGCTTGATCAGGATCAAGAAAGGCCGTTTGTAGGTGGCGACTCGAGGTCTCACTGGGATGGGGAGGAATGGGCCAGTTCCACCCCCATCTGGTGAGGCCCCACGTGTCTTGTCACTGAAGGCCCAAACCTGACTGTCCTGTGGCCTCTGGAGGATGACGGCCACCAGACTGCCAAGGGGAACAGGCCAAGGCACGAAACCTATTCCCACCTGGAGTGGCCCAGCCCCAGTAACCTACTGCAGGAACAAGACGCATTTCTGCCAAAAGCTTTTGGGTTCCGAGATTCGTTTCTGAGTCTCTGGGATCATGGCCAATAAGCAGTTCGATCAGGAACCAGAGAGGCCATGCCTCCAATTATATAGCTGAGCTGGAGGTGGCTTGTGGGTGTGTCTCCCACATACCTAACTTTCGGCCATTTACTTTCTTGGTAAACTTTGCCCTCAAGTTTTTGGGGTCTGGCCAAAGGCACAGCAGCAATTTTGGGGTATCTGGAAGTCAGAAGGCACCATCAGGCTGCTGATGCACTCGCCTCACAGGTACAGATTGACCTGCTGGCGGCACCATACCCCTATGATTTCCAGTTTTTAATCTAAAAATAAATAAATGAATAAAACAAGATGTAGAAAGAAACAAAACTGGGGGAAGAGGGAGAAGGAAGTGGCCGATGAATAAAAACTGACCTTTGAGTGGGCTGAGAGATCCAACTTGATAACAAGCAAAGGCTTCAAAATGGCTATTAGAAGTGTGTTTAAAAAAGTTCAAGGAAAATGTGCTACTAATGGCTGAGCAAACTGGAGTTGCAACAGCAAAGGGGCATCATCACAGATGCACGTGGGCGGTCTAGGGCCCAAAGTAAAGGGACTTCGCAGAACTTCTACCACACAGGTCGTGGGTCTTTCAGCACATTTGTAAGCATCACAGCAGGAGCTGAAAGCAGGTCTGATGCTGGGAGGACTGTGAGCGAACTCCAAGAGAAATCATTCGCTTTCAAGAACAAAGAGGAAAAGTGGGTTTGATCCCTATATAAATTTCAACTTCCCTGTAAGTGCGTCTTAACAATCAAGTGCCCGTTGTAGCAAGAAAAAGGAGTGGAAAACATGAAGAATGGAAAAAGGAAAGTTTTCATTTTAATACGATTCAATAGCTTTATTTTTGCTGTGTGACTGGGCTATACCTGGTGATGTTTAGGGGATGGTGTGTGGTGCCAAGGCGCGAGTCTGGCTCAGCCGCGTGCAAGGCAAGCGCCTACCTGCTGTACCATCTCTCCAGCCCAATTTGTTCTGACATCTCAGTGAAAGCTGAACTGACTGTTTATCTGCTGGATGTTTCTAGCTCTCAGGTAAAACTAAGTTTGTGGGGCTGGAGAGACAGTACAGCAGGGAGGGCACTTGCCTTACATGCGACTGACATGGGTTCAATCCCTGGTACCCCGTACGGTCCCCCAAGTCCGCTAGGAGTGATACCAGAACACAGCTCCTCCGCAAAAACAAAACAAACCAAAAAGCCCCAAATAACCATAGTTTTGATTATTGGAGCGAGCAACGAAGAATGAAAGATAAAACAGGCTGAGATGGGGACGAGGCTGGGACCCCGGAAACTTGCTGGGTGCCAGGAGATGGCTAAATTACTGCAGAGCAACATCAGAACTATGTAAGGAAAATAATCATCTTCGATCTGAGGTGGCAGGAAGATTCATCAGAAAATGTGGGAGACAGCAGCGTCACGGAGCGGCTGTTTGAAGAGCAGTCTTGGTGAGACAGAAAACAAGGAAATAAGAAGTACGAAGCCGAGCAACCTAACAGAGATGAAAGCCCAAGTCTGTTTTTTCATCTTAGGGTGTCCAGAGCTTTTTAATCTTATAGACAACTCAACACACACAGCACCTGTATCCATGGCGCCTAGGAGCAGGAAATGGGAGCGCTGAGAACGGATGGATCACTGACAGTCTGCACATGAAGGGGCAAGGAAGAAACTGTACGAAGCAAACATGGGAACACAACAAGCACGGCAGTCCCAGGCGCGGGGCTGGGGAACGGACAGCTGCACACGCCGGAAGCAGGCCGGAGAGCATCACGGGGCGGACACGGGATGATGGCCGCAGCTGACACGGACAGCCCAAGGCATGGAGAGTGTTAACTTACGTTCAATGAACTCTTTTGGAGAAGACAGGGAGGCATGGAACATATTTTAGAAAAATCCATCAAAACAGTTAAAACAGAAAGTATGGAAACTTACAACTCATGGCTTTGGTATATAATCTCGAGACTTCAGATCCTCAAGAAATCCTATCCTTGTCGGATCACTGGACCGAACAGATTCTCCACCCACCCCCGCCTCCCGCCCACCCTGGTGCTGGGGAGCAAATTCATCTTTTATGTGCATATGCGTGTGCTTTACCATTGAGCCACGTCCCTGGACCCCAATATTCTTGAGAACTGTTGGTTTATGTACTGAAAAATTGTTAATACTTGTATGTGCAATCCACTTTTCTGGGAGAAAGGGTCCAGAACTATCAGATTCTTAAAGTCAAAAAGATCAGAGAACTGGTTTAGATTAGAAAATGCTTTAAATGGAGTGGAGAAAAGCTTATTTATTCAAGGAGAACTAACTTACCTTGAGTTTGATCGCAGTGTATTGTTAATGTAGACATAATTAGAATATTATGAAATGCTTTTCAAAATATCGTGTGTATAGTACCCAAAAACATGCTTAGCTTTAACAACCGTTGTCAGAAAGGGCAAGATGTAGCCGAGTTAACCCTCAGTTGTTTGAATATATGCCACAATAAAATCAGGTCAAAGACTCAGGAACAAACAATATTAAACGGCAAAACAGATGGCTTCGCTGGGAAGGGGGCCCAGCACAGGGCATAAGCACAACTACCTGGCTGCTTGTGGTAGGTGAGCTCTCTGCTGGTCAGGCAGAACCACCGCTTCTTGAAGTTCTTCTTTCCAATCCGAGTTCTTCCCTGAGCTCTTTTATACATCTCACTGCCAAAACAGCAAACACACAAAAATCAGCCACGGATGTTAGAAACAAAGAACTGCCCCTTAATTTGAAAGACATCAACGGTTTTCTAAGACCAAGTATATGAGGATGTTTCTGTTATCAACGACTCTTGTATTTAGTTAGTTCAGTCACTCGAAGGGAGTAAAGTCAGTCTGTAATCCTAACTGCGATCCAGTACAAAAACGGCCAAATGAACGCGTTTCCTCTGAAATTTTCTATGACAGTACTCCTCAAAGACTGAAGGGTGGTGGTACTGTTACCTTTCCACAGTACTCAAGCGTTCTTGATCTCATTTGTGGAACAACTCTGGGACTGGATGAACATGGCATTAGGGCAAAGAGGCTCACACAGTACACCCCGATTTTCCAGGTTCACACTCTTTGTATTTAATGTCTATTATTGGAACCCAATAAATGCCGAATTACCCTTCTTTCAGGTGCACTGGTTCACTTGTACCACTGGACTCTTTCGTTTCAGTAGATGAAATTTCATCCAAGAACTAAACAGAGAAATGAGCAGTTAATACACTCTGTAGTAAGGGGTGTCATACATTGTTTCCACTTTCAATGATAATACTGTGAAGTTCTTCATTATTAAGGAATATACATAACTAATTTATAAAGCAAAACACATTTAACTGTAGATGGAGTTACTCATTTATACATGATAGTTTCTTGAAAAGTGATCCAAAACCTAGTATGCATTCCCTATAAGAAATAATACTGCGTATAATCCCTTACCTGTAATGCTGAAATTAGAAAGCTCTGAACGTCTGAACGTGCCATTTGTTTTTTGATTAGAAATAGTTATTTGATGGTGGAACTCAATTTTTTTTTTTTTGCTGCTTTTTGGGTCACACCAGCGATGCACAGAGGTTACTCCTGACTTTGCACTCAGGAATTATTCCTGGCAGTGCTCAGGGAAACATATGGGATGCAGGGAATTGAACCTAGGTCAGCCACATGCAAGGCAAAAGTCCTACCCACTGTACTATCACTCCAGCTCCGGTGTAACTCAATTTAATTGACAACTTAGAGTTTGTATTGTGCATGCCACGTGAATGCCAGATTATGGGGTGCTACCTCACACCCCACCCGAGGGTATTATGTAATATGTAGCATATACGTATCTTTGGAAACTCGCAAAAATTGGAATTTTGGAATATTCCCTGGTCCCAAAGATTTCAGCTATAGGACTGTGAACTTTATTTCCATCCGGACATTTTCAAATGTTGCAGTGGAGACCGTATGTGACACAACAGTTACTCATCCAACACAAGAGATTTTTGACTCCTATTATGTGTGACTGATGCTGAGAGTTGCAGCAACAGTTACCATTTATTGCCGGTGTCTTGGCAACAAAGATCACCAATCTCTATGGAGTCGTGGTTGAAGTCTAATTAAGTTCTCTGAAATAACTTGGAAACCTACGGGTCTGTACGATGTGAAAGAATACAACTACAATGCACTATGTAGACAGGGTGAATATAGGTCTTCGTTTGCTTGGGGCATCACTGTCTGTGACACAGTCAAGTAGAATAGATAGTTATGCAAAAGGACTGAAAATACTCATGCGTGCTCAAAACTGGACAGTGGCAATGGATACCCAGGAATGTCAGAGAATCGGTGCTACTGTCAATTCTCCTCTGCAGCAGTGGGGTCAGGACAAAAGGGGCGGTGTAATACCACTTCTGGGAATATATCCCAGAGATGCAAAAAAAGTATAGCAGAAATGACATCTGCACTTAAACGTTCATTGCAGCACTGTTTACAATAGCCAGAATCTGGAAAAAAACCTGAATGCCCGAAAACAGATGACTGGTTAAAGAAACTTTGGTACATCTACACAATGGAATACTATGCAGCTGTTAGAAAAGATGAAATCATGAAATTTGCATATAGGTGGATCAACATGTAAAGTATCATGTTAAGTGAAATGAGTCAGAAAGAGAGAGACAGACATAGAAAGATTGCACTCATTTGTGGAATATAAAGTAACAGAATGGGAGGCTAACACCCAAGAAAGTAGAAATAAGTACCAGGAGGATTACTACTCCACAGTTTAGAAGCCAAACTCACATGCTGGGAGAAAGAGCAGCTTAGAGAAGGGACCACCAAGTAAAGGGTGCTAGGAGGGCCTGCTCGGGATGGGAGATGTGGGCTGAAAGTAGACTATAGACCAAACACGATGGCCACTTAATAACTATTGCAAACCACAACACCCCAAAGGAGAGAGAGAGAGCAAAAAGAAATGCCCTGCCACAGAGGCAGGGTGGGGTGGAGGGGACCAGGTGGGGTGGAGGGGATGGGGTGGGGGTGGTGGGAGGGATGCTGGGACCATTGTTGGTGGAAAATGGGCACTGGTGGAGGGATGGGTACTCGATCATCGTATGACTGAAATACAAGCACGAAAATTTGTAGTGTGTAACTGTACCCCATGGTGATTCACTAATAAAAATTAAAAAAAAAAGAAAGGGGCTGCATATGCGTAAGCATTAGCGGCTTTGAGCATGGCACTTCCTCAGAAACAGCAGAGGAAATTGGTACATTGGGGACAAAGAGCCTCTGTCGGTTTAGGAGTCCAGAGCTAAGTCTGAGAAAGGGGTTGTACTGACGCCCCCTCAGTCCCTAAGTGGGTGACTGGGATGAGGAACACAGAAACTTCTGGCAGCCTGAAATGCCTTCTCCGCTGACTGACACCAACTCAGCTCACTGTGGTGGGATCAGATGCTGCCAGTGCACGGACAATGGAAGAACAAGAGAGGACGCCACCATCCTGCTACCTAAGTCTGGGCTCACTGTCCCACAAATCTCAGCGTGTCCTAAAAAGAAAAGGCCAGCATCTCCTTGCCTGGTATTCTGAAAGGCTTTGCAAAACCTTTCAATGGTTGCATAACTCTTGGTTGAACTTCCACTAATCAAGATGAAACAATTCCTTTTTCCTTTCTGGCTCTAAATTTAAAAACATTTTTCATTTATTGAGAGGCTATTTTCAAAATTTTTAGGTGCTGCAATAATGCCTCATTTGTTTAGGACGATTCAGGACCAAAGAGCCTTTCAGAATATTCTTAGCTTTTAAATATAGAAATTTTGGTCCCTCATAGACCTTGTGTTAATATATAAGGTAGACTTTTGAATCCTCTAGGCAACTTTCCTTGAATTATTACCATAAGTTTATACTATTTATAAAATATTCAATAATTTTTAAAAACTGTATCAATTATGTGCACACAAAATGAAAAAAAATGGCACCACACTAAGCCTTTATATCCCCTGACTGAAGGTTCCAAATCAGTGGCCTTTTGTCCATTTGGCAATGTTTGAAGACAGTTTTTAGTTGTCAAAATGTCTTATAATGTACTAAACAGCCCCTAACAATCAAGTATTAATCCAAATTATCACAGTGCCACAGTCAAGAGACTCTAACTCTAGGTACTTGTGATCTGTGACCAAGTCACTGGAAATAGTAGCTTTTGCTAAAACTCATTTATATATTTTTATAGCAAGAAAACTCCTAGTTTTGTATGGGAGGAGAAAGGTCTGGCTCCAAGAAAGTGTCACGAACAATGCTATCCCCATGGTAAAGCAATCATACCTTTTTAACTGCGATGATATATGCTTCTTCTTGGAACATTTTGAAAAATTCACACATGAATGTCTCTTTGAAACTTGACTAAAATTGAAAGAAAAAAAAACAGAGGGATTTATACATTGAGACCTGTGAATATAATGAGCTAGCTGAGAATTAAGTTAAAAAGGATTCTCTCCTGGAATTTCAGGGGGCTGACAGCTTTGAGCTCAAGATTTCTTTCAATCGTTGTTAGGTGACTGTGCACGGCATCTAACCGAAACAGCCGCTGCATATGTACTTATCTGGTTTTGCTTGTCTCAGTTTAGAGGCGGGTGAGTGTGGGAGAGACAGATGCCTGTACAACAGCAGCAGCTAGAAGCATCAGTACAAGAACAGATGTGAAGGCTCACCTTGCTTTTGGACAGACTCCCCCAGCTTCCCAAAGTTTGAATAGTTTTTGAGATGAGAGTCAATGTTCTAATTGTCTGTGCATCCTAAAGAAAAAGATACAAAATTCAGTAGCTTTTAGGAAGTGAGATTTGTTTTAAAAGTAAAATAGAGAATAGGATATATTATCCTAAAACCGTGCTTCAAAAATACTCATTCCAGCAAGTAATATGGATAAAATCTAACTCAGGATGGGCACACCTTGTACTGAGAGACAAAAAATTCATAGGTAGCTGACAATCGGAACTATACTTAATGTTCGTCTTAACTGATACTATATAGACATCATTTTTACAGTCTGGGCACATCCATGGCATCCACTTTTATACAAGATGTAACTTGAAACAGCAGCTTCAAATTTTCTCTACTCAACCCATCTCTAAACATATTCAATAATTTAAATGAACTCTGCAATCAGTGCTCTCTCTCTCTCTCTCTCTCTCTCTCTCTCTCTCTCTCTCTCTCTCTCTCTCTCTCTCTCCCCCTCATCATTTCGTTTTTTAACACCTAGTGATGCTCAGGGCTTTCCCTGGCTCTGCCCTTAGGAAATTACTCCTGGTGGTGCTTGGGGGACCATATGTGATACCGGGGGATAAAACCTGGGTTGGCTGAGTATAAGGCAAGGGTAATCCACTGCACTATCGCTCCAGCCCTTGCACTCAGCTCTCTATGCTGTGGTAAGAAAGACTCAAATTCAGCTGAGCAAATGAGAAGTCACCAGCTCATGAAGGATGTCAGCAGAGAGGAACGATTTGAGTCTGTCCTTCACGGTGATTTTTCACACCTGTCCTTCAGAAAGAATATACTACAGGATCCATAACAGTGTTCCCTAGTAAGTTCCTACTCCTGTCAGTATGTACGCATTGAAAAGAGGGAGTGTATGGGGGTAGGGGAGGGGGAGAGACATTTGGTGTGTGTGACATAACCTGAACAAGGACTATATGGGCCGTGACTAAAATTTACTGAGAAATAGTTGCATACCTCAAGGCTATTTGAAAAATATTTTTGGAAAGTTCACTGTTTCTATAAAAGGCCCGTATTATTCCCTGGTTTTGAACAATACAAAAAAATTGACAATGTGCTATTGAACTGAATTTCTCCAAGATGTTCTGTTAGGCTGAATCATATGAAACTACTGCTATCTGACTATTTTTGTTCTAAAAACTTTGCTTCACCATAATTATTAAAAAACAGAATAATCCATCTCCCCCGCACCCCCTCATTCTCCACTCAAAGTTATGGGTCACATTTTCTTTCTTTTTGTTTTGGGCCACACCCAGCAGTGCCCAGGTAACTGATCATATGCAGTGCCAGGAACGGAACGGGGGTTGACTGCATGCAAGGCAATCACCTTAACCCCTGAACTATCTTTCTGACCCCGAAGATGCTAATTCTGAATCCTCCAAGTTAATCATCTGCTAGTAAGCTCCTTCTGTTGGATTCATGCTCCCTACTTAAATACACACAGGTTTCCACAGATTAGAAAAGGCTCCTCATTGGATGGGCTTTCTCTCCAAGATGCCACATGCCATCGAAAAACATGCAGGCCTGGTTTGAGTGATTGACAATCACGAGAGATTATAAACACATGCTTATCAACAGCAGGACAAACGTCATGATGGGATTATTCCTTGCTCTCAATTTCTGTTCTTTGAATTGACAATACCCCTTACTTGGCCTCATTTAGAAGATTCTTAGGAAGACAAGGTCATACTAAGATACAAACCACTAAGTGAAATGATAGCTTAAAGCAATCCTTTTGGCCTAATGGTTAGGAAAGTGGCTGGAACATGGAGCCTGTGGTGAGACTTTCTTGTGATGTCTATTATTAGAACATGCAGATCCAATCTGGACACAAAGCAAAGTCACGAGCCCAGAGGTGGGAGTTCTGTCATGTCCAGAATGCTGCCACCAAGCTTTTGCCATCCCATGCCTTCTATTTGGTTCTTGTGACATGACACAGAAAGAACAGCTCTGTGGACTGAAAAACACCGGCCCACTTGCTGCTGTAGCAACCCAGACCTTTGGCAGGGAAGAATGTGTTTGCTGCTGCTGCTGCAGCAGAAGGTTCTGTGCTGTTTTCAAAGTGAAAGGGGCACTTGACCCTTTATTGGAGAAAGGAATTATCCATTCATTCCAGCAAGTAATATGGATAAAATCTAACTGATAAAATGACAGGAAGTGGCTCTCAGTGGAGAGGCCTCAAGGCCCATTCAACTCCCAGGCCTGAGCATACCCCCCGGCCCCCCGCATTAGCCAGGGAGCACTTCCTTGTCACTAGAGCTCCAGTGCAGAGCACAGGGCTGACAGGGTTCCCAGCAGCACTCAGCAAGTTGGGCTACGTTAGTCTGATGGTGGCTGTGGAGAAGACACTGATGTTTTTGTAGCTGTAAGTGGGACAACAAGAGGACTTAGCTCTCGAAGTAAATATAGAAAACACCAAGAAGAAGGCCAGTACAAAGTAAGCATTATTATTTTAGTCTATTATTACATTTTTTGTTTTGTTTTGTTTTTGGGTCACACCTGGTTAATTCAGGAATTATTCTGAGCTCTGCACTCAGGGATCAGGGACCACACGGGGTGCCAAGGATTGAACCTGGGATGTCTGCCTGCAAGGCAAGCGCCTTACCCACTATATTATTTCTTAATTATTGTAATTTTTGATCTGAGTGTTTTTGTCACTGATTTGTATAAATTTACAAAACATTTGAAACAAGGGACTGGAGTAATAGCACAGTGGGTAGGGCATTTGCCTTGCATGCAGCCAACCCAGGTTTGATTCCCAGCATTCCATATGGTCCCCCAAGCACCACCAGGAGTAATTCCTGAGTGCATGAGCTAGGAGTAACACCTGTGCATTGCTGGGAGTGACCCAAAAAGCAAAAAAAAAAAAATTGAACCAAGCAGTTTAAATAATGAACAAAAAGTATGATGTAGGGGAATATGAATTTAAGAAATGTGTGGGCCCATGCAGGAAAGATAGCAGTAACTCGGAACTTGAATACAAAAATATAAAATCCCCCACCTACAGTACCATCTCAGGTGGAAAAAAAAACCCAGCAATCCTAATCAAATTATGTTCCAGTAAATTTCTACTGCATTAAAGAGAAAAACCAAATCACTTGGAAATATTTGCAAATGCAAAAACCTGTAATAAAAAAATCTTGTGTTATGCAAACTTATGAGGATATATAACAGTGGAGGGAAAATATTATAAATCCTGTCTATGCCCATCACAAAGCTTCACCACTTATCAACATTTTATTACTCTGGCATAATATCTTTTAACAACAAAAAAAGCTTTTAGCCTTCTCTGAAATGTACCCAGCATTTCTTTGGCTGCGTCAGTCTTTAAGTATCGGTTCTAAGATAGTACAACCAAGCGAAATTGTCTTTCCTCATTGCAACACAACTGAAAATGGAAGAAAGCTTTGAGAAGAACACTTACTGGATGATGAGGTCGCAAATGAAAAGTATGAGGTGACACTACGGCTACAGCAAAGAAACGGAGAAATACAAAGCTGCTCACTGCAGAGTACTGAACATGAGGGTCATCTGCAGGGAAAAACGGTGACATGTCACGCACAAAAACACGGATGGCCAAGTGAGAACTACTGAGAAGACATGTAGACCGAGTAGGAGACCGCTGTAAGTCGTCCCCAAAGGACTGAGTAGATGACATGACAACTCGAAGGGATCAGAGAGAGAGCAGAGGGGTCAGGGCACTCGCCTTGCACCCGGGTAGGACTCCCGATACCGCACATGGCCCCCCTGTGCACTACCAATGTGGCCCAGACCACCCCCCTCAAAAAAAAAATGAAATGACAGTTAATGATTATGACTAAATTAAAGGGGGAGATCTTATAATTGAGAAACTCGGAAAGAAATGATAAAGGCGAAGATGCTAGGTTTCCAGAAATACTGTCGTTTGGAAAAATACCTCTCTTCTCATCTGCAAGAAGTCCCCTCCAGCTACCAGGAAAGAAAAGCAGTAACTCGCTCTACCTAGTGGGGACACTTTGTCCCTTTTCAGGTTAGGAGACTATTTTCAGTCTTGGAGCACTGTTTCCATTTCCCCTTAAATTTAAAAATCAAGGGGCCAGAGCAACAGTACAGCAGGGAGGGAGCCTGCCTTACATGCGGCCAACTGGGTTCGATCCCTGGCATCCCACAGAGTCCCCCAGGCACTACCAGGGTTGATCCCTGAGTGCAGAGCCAGGAGGAACCCCTGAGTCCTGCTGGGTGTGGCCCCCCAAACAACAACAGAGAACACCACTATCAGAGGAGAGACAATAAAAGCACTAAGCAGACGTTTCCACTTTAAAAAAGCTATTGAATTTCACAGTAAAGATAAACTAAAGCTACCTTGAGGCTTTGATCACTGACTAACCAGATGGCGAAGACGTTGGTTCTGAGTGAAGGAATGATCTGAATTCGCTCTTCAGCTACTCTCTAGGGAAGTCCACTGAGTCTGTACTTCATCAGAACTGCTTGCTCCTGCCAGCCTCCCGTATGAAGAACACATGTTCTTCAGAAGTACGGCAAGCATGAAAGTGTTGTACAACTCGCTGCGACAAAACACACCCCTGCGTCTACTCAGGACACGGAGACATCAGGATTGAAGCCAGACTGAGTTTGCAGTAAAAAATGAAATAAACTACATGTTCATATCACTTATGTAAGAATTGAACCGCTCAAGTGTGTGTCTAAATACATAGCAAAGGGCCTAGGTCACTGGGGGCAGGGCGGGGGTGGGGCCCACTCTGGAAAAGGCCTGGCCTAGATCTGACCCTGCTTGCCGAGGGACGCTCGAGGCTGAGCTCATGCTCTGCCATACAGATGGAGGAGGCGCATGCAGGCCAGCAGTGGGCCGGGCTGCTCAGTGTTCTGCGCTTCTGGCCTTACTGAACACAGGGCTCCATCCCTCCGTGCGTGGGTCTGCTGCTGTGTGCTCTGGGTTTCGTACGCTTCTCTGGAGTGAGCTGTCTGTGTCTTGGCTACCATCAGCAAAGACCTCATCACTCGCGTGCATGCACCCTTCAGAGTCGCATCCCGACAAGCACTGTGACGGCCGGGAATACGGTCCCTCAAGGAGCTGCCTCCCTCCGCCCTTCAGGCAGAGCTGGAACAGCCATGGCAAGTCTGCTCACGGAACTGAGATGCACGTCCCTAGCTAACTCACAATTTCATGATGTGTTTTCAAGCGAAGCCGTGATACAGCTGCTACTGCAAAATTACAGCATATACTGATACCTCAAAATTATATATATATATATATATATATATATAGCAACAGAGGTGTTCCTAGTACCCAAAACCATTTCTTAAAAAAACTTATCATTCTCAAATTATCAAATCTAGCGGGTTGTGGCACATTCAGCCACGCTTCCCAAGATGTGAACTTTCTTAATGGTGGATACACTTTCCCACTTTGGGGAAATGGCCACATCCATGTCCGGGAGGTGTACTTTGCTTTCTTCACTCTGGAGACGTCTGCGTTCTGTTTAAAGAACGTATCTCTCTCTTTCCCCGCTTTGACTTCCCAAATAAACTTACTTCACGTAAAAAAAAAATCTAGTTAGTTGTATGGACCCAAAAATCCTCACTATCTGAATGCATGCATGTGGAAAAGGTTGTTGGTATGAATGACAATGGTATTTTTGTCCATTTGCATGTCACCATTTTCTGCTTCAATTTTCACCTTGTAAAAAAATAATGGTTTCAAATTTTTCTTTGTGCACAACCTCCACAGTACTGACACGAAATGGAATGTTTCCAGATTAAATCAGATATTTTGTTCAAATGCTAAAGACTATGTTATATATCAAGCTTTAAACATTTTACGTCGAGACAAAAACTTCACAAAATAAATGTAGAAAATATAGGAAAATATATAGAAAAAAAAGGTCTGTTTTAGTGCAATCGGGTACTTACTAGGAAATCTTTTAGTGGCCATTTGCCGCAGAGAGTAGAAGACATCACACATCACGGTGGGACAGCTCATGCTGGACCTGACAATCGTGCTGAATAACTTGTCCACATAGTAGCGCAGATTCTCCTAGAGGATTAAAGGAGGTGAACATTTTATATTTTAACTTTTATATGTCTTCAGTAGCTTTGATTAGAAAAAGAAGTAATGGGGGCTGGAGCAATAGCACAGCAGGTCGGGCTTGCACACGGCCGATCTGGTTTCGATTCCCAGCATCCCATATTGTCCCCTTAGCACTGCCAGGGGTAATTCTTGCAGGGCCAGGAGTAACCCCTGAGCATCGCTGGGTGTGACCCAAAAAGGAAAAAAAAAGTAATAAAAAAGAGGTCTACTAGACAATTGTCACCAGTATTCTAGACTTTGTTTTTTTGGCTAAATCCAGCGATGCTCAGGGGTTACTCCTGGCTCTGCACTCAGAATCACTCCGAGAGGTGCTGGGGACCCATATGGGATGCCAGGGATTAAACCCAGGTAATCCATGTACAGGGCAAGCACCCTCCCTATAGTATTATCTCTCGAGCGCCTATGACTGGGATTCTAAAGCTTTATTTTCCTTCTCAAAATGATCCATTTGCATTCGGACCCAATTTACTAAAAGAGATTTAGCCTCGCTGGATATAGAAACAGACGAAAGCGTGGAATGAACATCGTAAGAAACAGCGGAGGATAAAGGGATCCAAAGGAAAGTCAGGGGAATGGCTGAGTGGTGGAGACACGTGAGCGCTCTTATCTACCGCTGGGGACACCTGTGTCCTTAACAGACTCCCTGCTTTCCTGGGAGCAACTCCAAGTACTCGCTGACTTCGAGGGATGGCCAGGGATGAGGGTGCAAGCTGCGAGCACAGGCGGCCTGACTTCACCACTGCTGCTAGAGCCAAGGACAAAATACGGCAAGGACAGCAATACAGCAAACCCCAGTGAGGAAACGACGTGCAGGAAACGCTCCCAAGAGCACCCGCGTTGTGTCAAGAGTCAAACAGCAGCACTACCCCTGTGCAGAGCGTGGTGACGTCAGCAGGAGAGGTGTAACAAACAGTAAGGCAATTTTGATGCATAAGGAGACTAAAACTTACCTTATTGTTTTCTACATTATCTCCCTCTTTCAATTTAATAGGGTCGATTTCACAGGGTTTAGAGGATTCACATATCTGCGGAATACATTGTTTCATTTAATTTCTTTACTAAACAAGTTGGCCAAATGAAAATGACTTAATCTTCTGATAAAAACAGAAATTGCAGCAGTTAAAATTTCCATCCAGAAATAATGTATATACTATACCCTCCGCATCATATAAATCTTTCTCATAGATTTGAAATGCTGGTTAAAATGGAAATGCACTAACGAAGTTCCGCATGTGTATTGCTCTGTTCAATTTTGCCCTAGACACAGTTAAAATCCTTACATTACGATGTGCTCTTTGAATACAAATCCCCTGATGGAAAGTAGATCACTGATTTGACCTAGAAAGTGCTAAACCTTATTCCTCCAGTACTACCCTCACCCCACCCCACCCCGAGAGCACTGTGGAGTGCGCCACTAAGGCCCGTGGCTTTACCTCATCCAGGATGGGTTTCAATGTCACTTTCAGGTAGTGCCCTCCCACTATTTTCATCATCTCGTCCAGACATCGGGTAGCCAGGGAGTTTCCTCTAAAAATTGTGTTTGCATCTCTGAAATACAATTAGAGATAAGGTAAAACCCAATGTGGTACATAAAGGCCATGGCATCAACAATGACCTCTTTGATCTGGCTGCACTCAATTCTGCTAAGTCTTACTATTCATTTAAAAGTGGCAGGACTGGGGCTAGAAAGGTGGTACAGTGGGCAGGGAGCTTGCGTGGCACACAGCCAGCAGAGTCCAATGTCCACAATACCCAGCTCTCTAGACAGCCGCTCAAGCACCGCTAGGTGGTGGGTCCTGACGATTTCAAAGTGAAAAAGCTCGTTATTATTCACAGCGCGAGTCCACGAGCAGGTGACTGGATGAAGCAACTGTAGTGTACGGCTGGAGAGACCGTGCGGGTAGGACACTTGCCTGGCAAGTGGTGGGACAGAGTTCAATCCCCGGCACTACGTATGCTTCCTTGAGAACTGCTTGCAGAGCACCTGAGTGCAGCACCAGGAGGAAGCCCTGAGCACCTCTGTGTGTGCCTCGCACCCCTGCCCAACACAGTGTGGCCTGTCAACAAACGGACATGACTCAGCTCCAAGGAGAAGTCATGCAGTTGCTGCCACGTGGACGGAACTGGAGGGTGTCGTGCCGGGTGAAGTCAGGCAAAGAACAAATCAGCACGATGTCTCCTATGTGGAACACAAAGAAATCCAGCGGAGGAACAAACGGCAGCAGGCCCCAGGATCCCCTCCAGAGCCGAGCCGACCGCGAGGGCAGGGTGGGGAGTGGAGGCGAGCCTGAGACCTTGGCGAAGAGACGCTGACACCCAGGTGACTGTGGTGTTGGAACAGCGGATGGCTAAAACTATTATTCACAGTACTGAAAATCAGAGTGCCTAAAGAAAAATTGGAAAATTAAAAAAAAAAACAACAAAAACACGCCTATCACCGTTAGGATTTTCAGGCTTACTAAAAACCACTCACTGGAACATTTTTTTTAATAATTCATGAGGGCTGGAGCAATAACACAACAGGTAGGGCATTTGCCTTGCATGCGGCCAACCCGGGTTCAATTCTCAGCATCCCAGGGGTTATCTCTGAGTGCAGAGACAGGAGTAACCCTTGTGCATCGCCAGATGTGACTCAAACAGCAAAAAACAAAACAAACAAAAAACCAAAAAACTTCGTGAAATAATTCTCTGTGGGTGGATTTTCTTTGCTGACTTGGGAGCTACCTTTCACGACCCACCGAGCAATTCTTTAACACAAGACTGGCCAACACTTGAGAAGTACGACGCACAGACAGCGCACAGCGGGCTGCCAGTGTGGGCGCTTACTGAGTATCCTTCAAGTCCAGGTCGGCCACCGCCGTGGCGAAGGGCACCAGCTTGTCGTGATGCAGCAGCAGCCGCACAAGGGGCAGAACAGCTTCATTCTTGTCTCGACAGATTTCACCCAAAATGTAAGCAGCTGAGGCAGATACCGGCTAGGACAGAAAGGCAGCAAGAGAGAGGTCAGCTCCCTCTCACGGCTGCCCTCACAGCCGAAGGCTTCATTTTCTTTTTTTCTTTTTTTTTAAATTTTATTTTTATAAAGTTGTTCATAATAATTTATTACATTCAATATTTCAACATCAATCCTACCATTACATCTTCCCACCACCATTATTTCGAATTTTCCCACCACCACCCAAGCCTGCCCCAAAGGCAGATGCTAAATAACTTATTTTATATTGCTTTTTTGTTGAGAATAATCCACTAAAAATGATCTAAAAGGTTTCCTTAGAGGAAAGTGTGTGAAAATTGTTGGATCTCACCTTGGAGACATTAAGCCCCTGTATAAGATATCAGTAACACGTTACAGAATGAAGGCTTCATTTCTTTCAGGGATGAAATTTGAATGATCTTGGAATCACATTACTCCAGGGGTGGTTCAGATAAGTGATTTTATATATATGTGTGTGTGTGTGTGTTTGTGTGTGTGTGTATATATATATACATATATACGTATATATAGATTTATAAACTTACTGTCATAATGAAACTTGATACTTGGAAATAGCTTCCTCATCTACAGAATCATTTTTATAGCCTTTCCCATTAAATTATATACCTAAGATTCTGAAAGTACCTGAACGTCTGGTGATTTTAGCAGCAAAGTTTTCAAAGGACCATAGTACTCTGAAGGAAGCACGCAGTCTTCTGTGTAACAGATGTTTAACCGAAGAGACCCCAGCTCATCAGTTTTAGATGACTTGTTTCCATTATCTCTTGGCTGTAGTAAGTACCTAAAATAAAAGGACAATCAACCTCATGTGACATTAAGCTTACAACCATGAGGTAAATTAATAGCTCACCTACCCACAAAAGCAACCTTACCTTTGCCACCACCAAATCAACAATACTTTAGATCAGAACCACTTCCGAAGGAGCAGAAGATTCATTTAAGAATAAAATCTATTTTAAAAACTCTGACGACTTTTATTATATAAAAAGTACAAGAAAAATAAGATTCCATCCACGGCCAGGGAAAACAGGGGCTAGGAGGACTGGTCAATGGTTGGAACTAATGACAAATGTGTGTGAGACCGAGGGTAGGTAGGATGGAGAAGGGCCCAGTAGGACTATAACAGCTGGGAATGATCACGCTGGACAAGACTGGAGGGTTCAAAGTAGGTAAGGGATATTCTGGATAACCTTTCAGTATAATACTGCAAACTACAGTGCCCAAGGGTGGGGGGGAAGAAAGGAAGGAGGGGGGGTGGAGGGGGAGGGAGGGAGGTCCTGCCACCGCTCCATAAATGATCTGGAGTAGGCATGCCACCAAGGAAAATAGAAGCGATCTTGTTCCCAAGTCAATTCTGTATGTAAAGTCCTTGAAACAGATGAACGTTTATCAACTAATTTTCATGTTACTACATGGAAGCAGCATAACTACAAGGGAAATGTTTGCAACAATCAGAAGTCAAAAAAGATTTAGGTAAGTACAAGGCAAAAAATACATATGTAAAATCAGACCGAAATATCCAAGGAAGAGGAGTAGAAAAAAGCAACGTCAGTACTACGCACGGCCACGTTTGTGGCCACGCAAGATTCCCGACTCTGCTCCACTGCCGCACCAAGAGCAGCACACCACACTTAAGAGGCCATGGGAGAAGGCAATGGATCTTGACCCCAAAACAAACAAATAAATAAATGTTAGCACACAAGGCTCAACATGTCAGAACATGATAGCAATCTCTTATACAAGGGCTGAATGGCTCTAGGGTGCGATACAATAATCTTCAGTTTTCTTCTAAGGAAACTTTTTTGGATCGTTTTTAACACATTATTCATAACAAGCCATACAAAAGAAGCAATTTAGGACCTACTTTGGGGGCAGGCTTGGGTGATGGTGGGAAAATTCAAAATAATGGTGGTGGGATCGGGGTTGGAATACCGAATGTAGTAAGTTATTGTGAACAATGTTACTAAAATAAATAAAATTAAAAACCAGAATCCATAAAATGCATTAATGAAACATAAGCAGAACTCCTCAGAGGTGTTTCATATGTTCTGATTCCAGTGGCAAAGACCAAAAACCCCAAAAGTAAACAAATGGGTCTTTGAAAGGTTTCACCTGGGCAAAAAGCAGCCTAGGCTAAAATCAGAAGATGCCCGACTGAATGGGATAAAATATTTGTACACATTATGCTGAATAAAGGACTAATATCCACGATATATAAAGTACCCACAAAGCTCAAGAACAAAACCCCCAATAATCTGATCCAAAAAGGAGACGCAGATGAACACAGAGCTGGTCTGCAGGCATGTAATCATTTCAGTGTATGGGCTGAAGCCATAGTACAGCAGGTAGGGCATTTGCATTGCACGTAGACGACCCAGATTCAATCCCTGGCATCCCATATAGTCCCCCAAGCACTGCCAGGAGTAACTCCTGAGTGCAAACCCAGGAGTAACCCCCCCTGAGCATAGCCAGGTGTGACCCAAAAAGCAGAAAAGAAAAAAAAAGCTTTTGGTGTAGGCTCTGGAGATACTCCAGCAGGCAGGGCGCTGGCCCAGGATCCCGGAGAGCAGAGCCAGGAATAAGCCACAAGCACCACCAGTGTGGCCCAAGAACAAAACAACAGCAGCAACAAAAGTGTTCATTGTAGTTTGTGATCACGGAAACACAAACCACCATGCCCACAAGGCATCATCTCCCATCAGTGACCGGGTACCTGAGACAGCCTGCAACAACCAGCGCTGGTGAGGAGGTGGTGGAGAGGGAACTTCCTGCATGGTGGGTGGGAACCTTGTCCGTTTCAGTCTATGGAAAACAGTCTGAAGAGGTCCCAAAACATTTAAGACTAGAGCTTCCATATATCCCAAAACATCCCACTCTGACATCTACCCCAAGAACACGAAAACGGTACCTGGAGGAAATGGGGCCCTCCCGTGGTGGTGGGGAGGCACAGTAACTATCAACGCTTAAATGTTAACACTCAACTATAACATAATAAAACTTTTCACAAGTGTAGGGTAATAATAGTATCACACTGACTTAATCCCCACAACTCCTTCAAGTAGATATGGAAGTACTTAGCTTAGTAGCTGGGTCCTGGTAAACACTAAGGTAAAGGTTATTTATGTAACACTCAAGTAGATATGTAACTCTACCACTGGCACTTAAAAATAGTCTATACTTGGGGGTATGGTGCCGCCAGCAGGTCAATCTGTACCTGTGAGGCGAGTGCATCAGCAGCCTGATGGCACCGTCAGACTTTCAGATACCCCCAAATTGCTGCTGTGCCTTTGGCCAGACCCCAAAAACTTGGGGCAAAGTTTACCAAGAAAGTAAACGGCTAAAAGTTAAGTATGTGGGAGACACACCCACAAACCACCTCCAGCTCAGCTATATAATTGGAAGCATGGCCTCTCTGGTTCCTGATAGAATTGCTTAACAGCTTAATGATCCCAGAGACTCAGAAATGAATCTGGGAACCCAAAGGCTTTTGGCAGAAATGTGTCCTGTTCCTGCAGTAGGTTACTGGGGCTGGGCCAATCCAGGTGGAAATAGGTTTCGTGCCTTGGCCTGTTCCCCCTGGCGGCCCAGTGACCGCCATCCTCCAGAGGCCACAGGGCAGCCAGGTTTGGGCCTGCAGTGCCGAGACACGCGGGGCCTCACCAGATGGGGGTAGAACCGGCCCTTTCCTCCCCATCCCAACAAGACCCCGAGTCACCGCCTACAAGCGGCTTCTCTGGCTCCTGATCAAGCAAATTAATGGCCATGATTCCAGAGACTCAGAAACAAATCTCGAAACCCAGCAGCTTTTGGCAGAAATGCATCTGGACCGCATACAAGGTGGCCGACCCCTCAGAGCTTATTGGAAAGCCAGGTATGAGCCGGCGGTGACGGGGCAACTGCAGTCTCATGGGAAAGGGGGACGGTATTGGCTTGTCCTTCACTCCCTACCGAGGTCACGAGTTGCCCCCCACGAGTGGCTCTCCAGCAAAACAGCCATGGCTCCAGAGGTAAAAGAACTTAATCCAGAGCCCAGCAGCTTGTGGCAGAAAAGTGAATGGACCATGTGTTAAACTACGGCGCCATGCCTCCCCGGGAGGGAAAGAGTGTTGCTCCCTTCCACCTCTCCCCCTGCCCCCTCCCCCCAGCAAGGTGGCTGCCACCTCAGAGCTTATAGGAAAGCTAGGTATGAGCTGGTGGTGATGGGGCAACTGCAGTCTCATGGGAAGGGGGGCAGTACCAGCTCATCCTTCACGCCCTACGGAGGTCATGAGCTGTCCCCCACAAGTGGCTCTCCGGCACAGCCATAACACCAGATGCACAGAAACCAATCTTGCAATTATCTGGCTCTTTGCAGAAATCCAAAATCATTATATGACATTATATGACCCTCATACCAGCTATAGAAAACAAAGTATTTCACAATGCCTTTTCAGCAATTCTGATTGTTGGGGGGGGGGGAATTCTAAACAATAATGGTGCATCTTTTGTCGAAATGATAAATGTAATCAATGTAGAGAAGAGTTAAGTAGAAATTATCTGCCTCACAGGCATTGGGAGGGGTGGGAGGGGGTTATATTGGGGTTCTTGGTGGTGAAAAATGAGTACTGGTGAAGGGAAAGGTGTTTGATCATTGTATGACCAAGACTTAAACCTGAAAGCTTTGTAACTTTTCCACAGTGATTCCATAAATAAATATAAGAAGAAAAGTAAATAAATAAAATTATGAAAAAAAAAAGTAAGGCGGAGTTCATGCCCAATTCAATCAGCTAACCAGTGGCTGAATAAGTGGCAGTACTCCTACATTAAAAAAAATAGTCTATACAGACCATTTACAGAACTATGTGATCTATTATTTTAAAACACAGTTTAAAAATGGATTTAAATCACCTGAAGAAACCCTTGAGAATTTAATAGTCTATGGATTAGAGCTAAAGAGGAAAAAAAAACCAGGACTTTAAAAATACCTGTACCCTGGTATAAACAGCTGGTATGTGCCTGGTTGGGAAGTCTAGGGCTGCAAATAAGTCCCCCAGACTAAAACAAAACCAAACCCCAAAACCAAAAGCAACCCTTGGGCCTGAGCAGTAAGACAGTGGGCAGGTGACTTGCCTTGCATGCAGCCAACCTGGGTTTGATCCCAGGTACCACATATGGCCTCCGTGGCTGGGCTTGGAGTGACCTCTGAGTGCTGAGTCAGGAAAAAATGTGGAGCACTGCAGGGAGTGGCCCAAAAAGTTGAAACAAAACCAAAACCCCACCCAAACCTCAAATTGGTTTTCTTCAGTTTTTGCCTGACTCCTACCCACGTGAAAGAGTAAACAGGAAAGAGACGCTGCAGCCTGAAAGTGGCACCAGGCACCCAGCAGCGTTGGGAGCCGCTCCTTCCAGCCCACGGGCAGACTACGCAGGGCACGTGGAAGCCCCGGGTCCGATCCCCACGACCCCCCCACCCAAGATGGCAGTGCCCCCCACCCCTTCCTGGAGGAATTCTAACCACACTGTGACAATTTCAGTTTTACATAATTTGTATAATTAGGACTGAGAAAGCAGAGAAAAACGACATGCAGTGCTACCTATGCTGAAAAGGTAGCTGTTTCGAGGCGACTCGGTTACCGTTTGATGCCATTTCTGGTCCCAAATTCCATCAACAGACTTTTACTAAAGACTGAGAACTAACGTCAAATTTAGGACACTAGAAAACCATCTCATCTCAAGGAAAATATTAGTTGTACAACACCAGTATTTACTATTTGAATCTAACTTTTCAAAAACCAACCATGGCTAGAGTGGAAGGCACTTGCCTTGCACAAGTGGACTTTGGTTCAACCTCCAACATCCCATATAGTTCTTGATCCCTGCCAGAAGTAATCTGAGTGCAGTCCCCAAAACAAACAAGAAGTTAAAACTCATGACAAATGCTTCTATTTCCTTCATGTTCATTTTTCTGTTTTGAATCATCAGGGATGGGGAGAAATTAATGTAGCCAGCTATTCAAGCACATAAAACATTTGGCACAATCAGTTCTCTGATACGGAACCAGATTATCTCTAGAGCACTCCAAACGGCATGGTACTGGGCCCCAACATGAAGCAGAGGCTACTGGAACAGGAATGGCCACAGCAGGGACACGACCACAGGACCATGGGTCACTCCCAGGCCACTGCCTCCCCAGCCACACTGGGTGAGCGTGACTCAGCTCTGACAGCGACAGGCCAGCAGCGAGGGAGCAACTGGCCACACCAGGGGAAAACAGCAGCTCTGGGCCTTGGCTCGGGAACCTGCACTCTCATCCACCACCGAACCAGCAAGTATTTCCTGAGGTTCCACTAAACTGCTAGGTGAAAACAAGGAAGCTGGGCTATTGAGATATAGTAGGTGGCCATGTGTGTATAATGGTACATATAGGGGTGTGTATCACGGTGTAGAGATGTGTGTGTATATTTTTGATTTTTGTTTTGTGTGTGTTTGTAACCTAAAAAGACCATACATCATTTCTGAGAGACTAAATGTATGTGTGTGTACCTAAAAAAGAACATAGATCATTTCTAAGAGACTAAGTGTGTGTGTGTGTGTGTGTGTGTGTGTGTGTGTGTGTGTGTGTACACCTTCCTGAAAAGAGCATACATCATTTCTTTCTTTTTTGGGGGGAGGCGCATACCCAGAAATGCTCAGTGGTTACTCCTGGCTCTGCAACCAGGTACTCAGGGAACCATACAGAGTGTCGGGGATGGAACGTAGGCTGGAAGCATACAAGGCAAAGGCCCCACCCACTGCACGATTACCCTGGCCCCATACATAATTTCTAAGAGACTAAATGGTCAAGAGATAATGGCAGAATGACTAGATCATGCTATAATCCAAGAAAACTTTGAACTGGAAAAATCAAGTCAGATTTCAGAAAAACTGTGTTCAAAAACAACTACATGGAAAGTGAAGAAAGGAAACAAAACACAAGTTTTCCCAAATGACAGAATGACATTATTGATGACTAGTATTTCCTAATTAACAAGATTAGAGAGAATAAACCTGATATCCTGAAGGCAGCACTGCATTGCAGCACTGTCCTCCCGTTGTTCATCGATTTGCTCGAGTGGGCACCAGTCTCCACTGTGAGACTTGCTGTTAACTGTTTTTGGCATACTGAATATGCCACGGGGAGCTTGCCAGGCTCTGCCGTGTGGGCGGGATATGCTTGGTAGCTTGCCAGGCTCTCCGAGAGGGACAAAGGAATCGAACCTGGGTTGGCCATGTGAAAGGCAACCACCCTGCCCGCTGTGCTATCTCTGTAGCCCATCCTGAAGGTAAATAAAACTTCCCAAGCTCTCATGCATGTTTTTACCATTTTCCCACAAGAGGGTGCTATAAGTCCATAACTAAAAAGGGACAACTGCACTTCACTTCTGACTTGAAAGAAAACGTTTGCATTTTAATATTTTTCCATTTGGAAGTACGGCTGTATTAACAGATATTTTTATTTTACGCTGTATAAGGTTTATAAAGTCTAGTACTAACATTTTTGTAAGATTCCTTAAAATATTTTTAAATATTACTAAAAAAAATAGGAATGAAATTAAATTCTATTAGTGTTCTTACACTGACAAGGCATTTGGATAAGGTTTTGGGAAATCTGAAGGCCCCGTATGGAGACACTCTTGGTGGCATGTTTCAAGTTCATTTTATTTTTTGTTTGGGGTCACACCTGGGGGTGCTCAGGGCTTACTTCTGGCTCCACACTCAGGGATCACACCTGGCAGGCTAAGAGGAACATATGGAATGCCGGGGATCGAACTCAGGCTGACTATGCATAAGGAAAGCACGCTACCTGCTGTGCTATCACTCCACCTCCTCAAGTCCACTTTGAAGGGCAAGCACGACTTCTTTTTTTTTTTTTTGTAGGAGTACTGCTATTTATTCAGCCACTGATTAGCTGGTTGAATTGGGCATGAACTCCACACAACTCCATTTTTTTAGCATGACATGGTAATTTAGAGACTTGTGATGGGCCAGAGATACACAGGAGGTAAGGAACTCGCCAGGCCAGCCCCACTTAGATCCCAGGGTATCACCGGATGTGGCATGCCTGAATGCATGTGTGTGTGTGTCCGAGCACAAAGTGAAGAATGAGGCTTCTCAGGAAGGCAGACTCACGCAAAGTGAGACTTAGACCTACAGCAAGAAACAGCTCAACACCCCATTTTCACTGCCGCTTCCAGGAAACTGAAACCAAGTCCGAAAAGTGAGGCGTAAAAGGCAAATGAAACCCAAGTCTAGCAAGAGGGCTCCTGAGCCACGGAACCTACCTGCTCCTCAGGGCTGTGGAGAGAACAAACAACACTGGCATTGATACGACTAGGGAACCACCGAGGTCTTAGCTCAGCATTCATTTCAGGGTAATGTCACACTGAAGCCCCGAGAAGGAAACACAATTTTACAAACGTTGGGGAATCACCAGAGCTCCTGGAAAGGGTGCTCAGGGACCAGCTCGGCAACAGGGAGACTCAGCTGACAGTGAGAGCTGGAAATGATCCCTCTGGACAAGAACTGAGTGCTGAAAGGAGGTAAAGGGATAGGCATAACCTCGCAGTACTTGCCTTGCAAACTATAATGCCCAAAAGGCAGGGGGAGGGGAGGGGAGGGAAGCTGCCACAGAGTCCGGCTGGAGGGTGTGCTGGGAGGGAAACTGGGGACACTGGTGATGGGAAATATACACCGGGGAAGGGACAGGTGTTGGAACATTGTATGATTGAAACCCAATCACAAGCAACTTTGTAACATAAACATAAACAACTTAATAATAAATCATAAACAACTTTGTAACTGCGCATTCAAGGACAAAACCCACAAAGTCACACAACACTGAGACCCCAGCAATCAGCAAAGAACACCAGGGCGACCCCTGGTGCATATCAATGGGGAGTGTGGAAGGGAAATCAACGGTTAGATCCCACACGGAGCCAAATTCCTCCACTTTTGCTTTTCAAACACTCACAGTTGGCAAAGTTCTTATGTTTACTAATGAAATGTCCTTTTAAAAAAAATAATATGGGCCTCCCTCATACGGCCTGGGGCTGCTACACCCCATGCTGCTCCGAGGCGACAACCCCTCTGAGCCACCTCCTGGTCCCACCAACATTTCTGAACTGAAGATGTGATTTGTGACTAATGCCTTCTCTCCTCAGCATCTCAAAGTCACAAATGTTTTCCATTCTCTCCACAGTTAGAACTTGGTTTCTGAACAGAAAAATACGAGACAACTCGGTTATTTTATCTCAATACCCAGAGGCCAAATTATACATCTATCATTCTACTTGTTTTTCTGCAACAGTGAGCAAAATTAATCATCATGCATGGATTCTGGACTTACTCCATTGTAAATTTAAAATATGCCAAGAGTAGAGCATGTATTTGCATATATTCGCAGAATTAAAGGAGACAACAACTGCAGAATTCAGGGGGAGGTTTGTCTTCTTACCAGGCCTGATGAGAGGCGTCATTTCTTAAGACATTCACTGGAACCTTGATCTCACCGAGGAAGACATCTTGGACCAGGTTTCCATTGTTCCACAAGTCGATCCTGAAATGTGAGATGGTGTTACTTTTTGTGAACATTTTCAAATACAAATCACACTTATCAGTAGCCATGATTACTCTGGTTGGTCTTAGAGCATTGATTTTATGTGCTTATAAAGAATCACTACCTAAAGAAAGCAGAATGCTGCAGCGACTTTTACTTTAAAGCACAGAAAGCAATTATTTTAAATTTTAAAAAAGAAGCCCTTCTATTACTTAACTTCAAAGTCTATCTGAACCTGGAGCAGAGAGATTACGGAGTTATTATGCTGCTGAGCTGGACAACAGAAACCACGATGGGTCTAGTTTCCTTCTCAATTAGCACCAGTTAATACGCCAAGGCAGGTGGTTTAGACCAATACATTACCTGGTCATTCCAAACGTGGTTAATACACCCTTTAGTTGGACACACCGTTAACACCACACCTACACATGCATGTAAAACACTTTCCCCTCCCAAACAGCATCGAGGTCTGAACCTGGGCAAGGCGCAAACTCCAAACACATGCATCTGTGAAACCATCTTACAAGACTTCTTACCTCACTGAAATTTCTGTTAGACAGCAGATATGTTAAGAAGAATAAAACAATTATTTCTAATTGGCTAACACACAAATCGCTTCTCTAGACAGCCCTTGCTTCTATAATGCGATGAATCAGAAGTTTAAGGCACAGTTAAGTTTGGGAAAATTTAAAAATATGTAGAATAAAATCGGTGAAAATTGTGTCATATTTGTCTGCAAAGAAATTTAAGATTTTGAAGAAAGTGATTTGACTTAATGTAGATGCACGTTCCCTCCTAAATTTTAGCAACAAACTGGGTAAAGACAATTCTATTAAGTTTTGTTCACTTTATAAATTTTCTGTTTAAATGTAGGATTTTCTTTTGGCACAGAAAAAAGCAATTTAGTGAAATGCCAAACAAAGCACGTACCTAATTTCTAGCTTTTCAATGTCTTCCTCTTCCACCTGGAACTGGGACTTTCTGGTGTAGCTACTGGATCTGGTTACCTATACGAATAAAAGTGTTTTGATGGAAAATTAAAGAATATTTTTTTCCTACATGATTAAAAAAAACCCTCTTAACTTTGATATTTTCAGGGAAGGATGTAACAGAAGAAAATGTCTCAATAACATTAACCCAAAAGTTAAATCGAGAAACAGGGTAGCAGAAGGGAGGTAGGAATTATGAGGTGTGAAAAATCCAAAAAGCTTGAACCCACATTATTCCTTGTCACCTCAGCACACGGTAGCATCACGGCGATGGCTAAGAGCCTAATGGTGACTTCAGTGAAGCGTGTGGCTCAAACGAGAGACTTTCCCGCACTTCTCAAGATCCCACTGCCACGTGGCACTTCCTCCTTACATTAAAACTGAGAACAGTCAAGCCACTGGCAGGCACTTCTGGACATGTGGCCCTTCGCACCAACCCTGCGCCTCCAGCTTCCCCGCGCCCCACGCCACAGGGCCCCAGGAAGCATCAAACCTGCGACAACCAGCACCTTTCTTTCTCCTCTTAAGCCAGCCTGCCCACCTCATTCAAGTCCAAGAACATTTCTCAGATGATGGTCTTGCTCTGCCTAGCTCTGCAGACAAATGACCTCAGAGCTGTCGTCCCTCGGACGGTCTCTGTGTCAAGCGCGCACAGAACAGGCCTCCCCCAGACATCTTTCCTGAAGCCCGTCCTGCCACTTCCGAGAACAGACTCCCTCCTGCTCTGCTTCGGTAACAAGCGATCGTGCCGCTGCCCAGGACCACAGCCTGCGGTCTTGCCCAGGCACTAGGCAGTCTTCTGCTTTTTCCTCTGGCACCTATTTTTGGGGGTGCAGGGGAAGCTCTGGCACGTTTTTCCCTCAGAACTCAGGAATATGCACTCTCTCAAAGATCTGGTCTTTGGTTTTGCTCCAAGCTACACCATGCAGTGAGTCTAGCAAGTGCTCCCATCCCCCTTACTGCCCTTCACTCTGTCCATCAGAAGCAGCTCCCAGGCAGGCGGGACTAGACTAATTTCCCCTGTAAATCCAGAAATTCAATGGAATGCTCAAACTGAATGTCGAAAGCAGCAGAACTGAGTTCTTCGCTATTTTTTTCGCATTCTTTTACTCCTTTGCTTGACTCTGTGTGAGCAGATCTTGAACACTTTTCTATAACCTTCAAATATTGTTAATCGTCGATTGCCTCGAGCAGGTCCCAGTAACATCTCCTTCATCCTAGCCCTGAGATTATATTCAAGGCTCTTTAGGAGAATGGGACCCATCATTGTTACTGGTATTTGGCATATTGGGTATGCCATGGGGAGTTTGCCAGACTCTGCCGTGTGGGCAGGCTACATTCGGTAGCCTGCCAGTTTGTCCAAAGTAGGAAAGAGATAATAAGATGTCATAATAGGATGTCATGCGGCTGCAAATGCGGCCGCACGGTTCCAGGAGCTGGTTTTTATAGTCTCTGAGTCTTGGCCGTTGATGGGATTACACGGCGCCAGGGGGCCAGTTGGTGGGTGTGACCCCCGCCTACTGGTATTTGGAGGATCTGGGTGGAGGATGCTCGGCCCAAATCCGAGTAGGCTTGGAGATCTCGGCCCCGGAACCCGCGTGACTTTGTCCCTCTGCCAGTACCTTCATGTGTGCGGAGAGTGGGGTCAGCACGGTGGTGGCTGGTCCTGGAGGCCTTTGGCTGCCAGAGCCCTGGTCGGGGTGGGGAAGAAAGCTCAACCCGCTCCCCTCCAAGGGGCCCTGGCGAGAACAGTCAGGCGTGGGGGCAGGAGACTGCACTGTTCTCTTCCGGGAGTTGACTTCAAATATTGAAGTCATGGAAATGTCTCCTGGCAGATTGTATAGGTAAACTCTGGAAGCTCAATATGCCCAAACAGAACCACCAATCTTTTCTATTTTTCCAGCGGAAGCCCTCTGAAACCTCATGTGACCTCTACACTTGTCTTTTCTAAACTGTTTCTATGTCCTTCGTAATTTCCTTCTTCACTCACCTTTTTCTATTTCTGTATTATGTTCCTGAATCGGGGCTCTTCTCCACCGCCTTTAAGAATCTGAACTACAAGTCTCTCTGTGCGTGTCTCTCCCTTTCTCCGCCTCGCTGTGCTTGGTCTTTCACTCCTCTTCACTCCTGGCTCTGATCCCAGGATCACTCCTGGAGTGCTCAGGAGCTCACGTGTAGTGCCAGGATCAAACCCAGGCCAGCTGCATGCAAGGAAAGTGTCCTACCCACTAAACTCCCCAGCCCAATTCTCAGTCTCTTGATCTCTGTTCTCCCAAAGCCACCTGGCACAGAGATGATGTTGAATCCCCCTCTCAAATACAGAATTAACCTATCTACTCCTAGGCTCCAAAACATCCAAAGGTCAGCGTGGAAACATCTCAGCCAGAAACGGAGAACCTACAGGAACTGGCTGTACCCTGGTCTGAAACATGAGCGCTCTATTCACCCACCCATACATCTGTATAGAGATGCAAACCGCCTAGCCAAATCACTAGCACTGCTTTCGACAAAACTCCCTGGGGGTGTGTGCCAGGAACATTCCTTCTGAGACCCGCTCTCCTTCCCCTTGACTTAAGCAGAAGCATAGCACGCTGGGCCTCGGCACCTTCGACAGCTTGACCCCTGCTTGTCTGCAGGCGCATGTGGTTTTGTGTCTCAGGCTTTAGCCTTGTGCTCTAGCCAAAGGACAGAGACTGAACTTTATCTCGATCATCAGATCAACAAAGGCCCTTGGAGGCGACTGTTTGGGGCCTAGCAGTCGGTCCGCTCAGCGACAGGCAGCGCAGCGCGGGAGGCCCCGGCCTGCAAGGCACAGACTGTTTGCCACAAGTTGCACCTGTTTTTTTGCTGGTTGGGCTGTAACAGTCACTTGTAAATGTAGAACAAATGTAGAACCAGGAAATAAAAAAGTTTCACATGGGTACATTTTTGGGGGGTTTGTTTTTTTCTTTCTTCCGTGTCTCCGCCCACACCATTCTTTCTATTTCAGTTCTGGCATTTTCTGAGCCCTGGTTCCTTTATTCTGGTAATCAGGCATGGCTAGATGTGCCCAGTCTCTATCCACTCGGAAATAGCAAGGAAAACACAGAAAAACAAGAAAACAACCACCAAAATAGAACTCTGTTTTTCAATCTCCCCAGGGCGTTAAGCTCAACTGCATCATGTTCTACAGCTCGAATGGAGAGTCTAATGTATTTCCCTGTGGGTTTCAAATAATAGGAAAAAGAATTTCTTTCATAAATACTGTGGAGCACAGAATTCCAAAGTGCCGTATGTGGAATGACTTGGGCCGCTGACGCGCTCTTTGAGAAAAAGCTCACGTGGTTCCTGGAACAAATCAGGCTACAAAAGGGTTCGGTGGGAACTTGTAGCCTTAAAGCATTCTCACATTGGAGACGCATAAAAACTAAACAATAAGTGGGGGTGCCACTGTTTTCTCTCAAAACTAGAGCTTCACAAGAAACAAACGGGCCACTCGCCCGAGTGATCTGTGCGAACTGGAACTAGAACTTAAGATGCAGCAAGTGATAACGTACTTCCTTGGCTTGAGGTTCTCAAACAGGCCTCTGCGAAAGAGTGCCGTGGCCAGGGGCAGGTGGCGGGAGGAGGGTAACTCGGGACATGTGTGTGTGTGGGGGACACACTGTGGCCCTAGACTCCTCACTCCCTAAGCCCCCAGGACTCTGGCTCTTCTTGGGCCCTCCACTGCACTTTACATCACAGCTGTGCTTTCTGGAGGGCAATGCTGAGTGAGGTTCACTGGTGCTCAAGTGATTAAAAGATTCTTGTGATTGAAGTTTGAAAGTAAGAGCTCTATCAGCTCTTATTACTAAATATTCAATGACAATTAGAGAAAACAGAAAGTTACCTCAAAATAAAAGATTTCGTTGAACTGCGGGTTGCTTGTCTTCTTCTTTACTTTGGTCTTCTTTTGGTCATTCCTGTTACAATGTGGTAGAGTTTTACCTTGTAGAACTTAACAGCACATAATTATACAACACGCTACTATGCCAGCCTGGGGGTCTGATCTCTGTGTGCCTCAACTGACTCAAGGAAGACTGGACGAAAGTCATTTTGGGGGAAAAATGGAAGTCTAGACACTCAAAGAAAATACACGTTTTCTTCTGTTTGGTTTACTGGGCCACACCCAGCAGTGCTCAGGGGTTACTCCTGGCTCTGCACTCAGGGATCACTCCTGCTGGGACTCAGGGGACCATATGGGTTGCCGGATATGAACCTGGGTCAGCTGCATGCAAGGCAAGAGTCCTACCCATGGTACTATCACTCCAGTCCTAAAAATACAAGTTTCATCCACTGCAAATATGCCAAGATTGTCCTGCTCTCTTGAAAGCTGTACAAGTGTCAAACTTCCTTCAGGATATTTTGTAAAAATCACATCCTATTATGTTAGCAGTTCAGAATAAAGGACAGAAAATAGTGCGACTGCTCCTATGCTGGAAGATACCTGAGGAGCATAAGAGCACTTATTTATTGAGGTGCCGGAGGTCAAATCCAGGGCCTTCTACAACTGAGTCACACCTATGGCTCCATAAAACATACTTTTTTTGTGGGGGTGGAGGAAAACGAAAGCTTCCAAGTGGTGCCCCTGGCGATTCTCAGGGGCCCAAGGAGGCAACACTGTTCTGTCAGCGGTGCTCGAGGAACGACGCGGTGCCAGGGGTTGAACAGGGCATACTTTGACCCCTACCTTCTTCCTGGCCCTCATAAAAACATCCTGACTCCGTTGACTTTCTGGGCTTCTGCTACATAAGTGGCTTTTTTAAAAAAAACCTGTGATTCTGAAATAATTATAGATGCAAAAGAGGATCAAAGAAACATACATGGAAGTTGCCCCCGTGTTCCCTCAATGGAAACATCTTATGCAACTACAGAGCAACTGTAAAACACTTGACTTTTAAAACACAAATTCATATGCCAATAGTTTCTACCTGGATATTACTAATTACAATGCCAAATTTATGTGTAAGGAAGGCACAGGTTACAGAAACAAAAGCAAATCTAGTAGGGGAAATGTTTTTAAGATGTTAAAAGGTTTAAAATCAAATTCCTTTGCTAGAAAAAAATATTACAGGACTAACTAATCCTAAATTTAAAACCATGTGATAATAAACAGTAACTTATCTGGCTTAACACACAATAAATACTGACATGGGGCCAGGAACTTATTATGCAAATGTCCAACTCTATTTCTCCAAGTGACCTGCTGGTGCTGTCAGCGTATCTGGACGGTATCTGGGGGAGCGAGCGCATCTATGTGTGGACAGACGTTTCTGCACAAAGAATACTGCACTCTTGGTTTCCAGATTCAAACTTTCAATTTATAGACACATTTCAAACTAGTCTGGATCAGAATGAAACCAGCAAGAGGTTCTAAGATACAAAGCAGAAAAAAAGACTGTTTCTGAATAAACTCCATACATAATTTAACTCTATAACACATGGCACTCCTCTGCGTCTGATAATGGAGCGGTCTGTCATCAACTTTAAATACCTTCAGCAGAGCACCGATCCCAAGAGCTGCAAAGGCATTTTTAGTTCCAAGTTGCTTTCCAGGTAAAAACAACCCTGTTATCTTGGGCGAGTTTTTAATTTTTCTTTTTGGGTCACACCGGCAATGCACAGGGGTTACTCCTGGCTCTTCATTCAGGAATTACTCCTGGCGGTGCTCAGGGGACCATATGGGATGCTGGGAATTGAAACCAGGTTGGCCGCATGCAAGGCACCCCGTTAAGTGGACCAATGGTTTGGAAGTGTGTGTGAGAACTCACTTAAGATTTTGCTTTTAAAAAAGTTACTCCTTTTGTGACACAAATAAAGGCTTAAAAAGTGAAGTCTATAGTACTGAGTGATGTTACCTAGAAGGGCCCACGAGAGACACAGTCGCGTATGGGTCGCAGCTCTGTCCATTGATGAGAGGTAACCCATGGCACGCCATGATACTAGGCAAGAATAAGAGAATATCAGGATTAGACTCAAGTTCACAGAACACAATGACCTTTCAGTACAAATGAATGTATTCAGAGGTTGGAGCTGCTTCCCACGTGTCTGTGGTCGATGCCTCAACACCACTGATACATGCGCTGACTTTTCAAAACAAGGCTAAACTGGAGAGCCCCGATCAGCACCAAGACTATCAGATGACATTTCACCCATACCAGCTAACTATCCCAGCAAGGTGCAGGTTGGCTTGGTTTGGGTTCTGGAGTTACACCCGGCCGTTCTCAAGGGCTACTCTTAGTTTGGTGTCCTCTTCCCAAGCCCCCCACCCCGGGTGCTGGAGGCCGTGTGATGCAGTGACCAAACCCAGCCCTCCTGCAGGTGCTCAGCCTGACAAAGTTTCGCGTCAGTCCCAGCAACAAGGGACATTTTGTGGTTTGCTAATACATCAAGTCTGCTGTGGCTTCTAAAAAGGAAAAGCAAGTGGTGTGAACCTTGACGGAGAAACTACAAAGTGAGCTAGACCAATGGCATCATATCCTCTCTGCTAAAGCATGAATGAGAAGCAAGGAAACAGTGTGGTTTCCACTGCAGACCTGATTCATAAGCAGCGGGCAAACCTCGCACGGCCGGTGCAAACCTCTCCACCAGCGCCTGCGTCAGCCATGGCGCTGTCTTAGACAAGAAGTCCAATGTCGTACGATCCGCACCATGAACTGTTACTGATATTTACAAAGAGTACCTGTTTTCAGGATATGCTTCTAAATTTTTCTCACTAAAAACATTACTCAGCTTATGAGTCTGCTTTTAACATTTAAGGGCCTGCATTTTCAAAAGCTTACATGAAACTTATGAGAGTTGCTGAAAGGATTCTGCCGCTGCTGTTGAAGGAAGCGTCTATTAACTAACATCCTCTATAATCTACTGATTATAAAGTGCAAATGATGTATTGCTGGTAAAGAAAGAGATGACAGTATGACTTGTTTCTATTAAACTGTACATCAAAAGTAAGAACAAAAAATTGCTAAAACCAATGAGGCAAGACAATACCTCTGGTTATTTTAGCTTTAAGTACTATGAAACTTTCCAATTGTAAAAACTGTTTGAAACTTAAAAGTTATTGGGCTAAGGGTCAAAATGACATCTGATTTTTCTACAGCACTGGCAGTTTACTATTACTGCCACAAAATTCATTTATTCTCACAGTTGCTTCAGGAGAGTACCAGATCATGGCATTTTAATGAAGAAAAGGAGAGGGACAGAAATGCGGCTCAGTGGTAGAGGATAGGCTGTGCAGGAGATCCTCTGTCTAATCCTTGTCTATGCAAAAGAATAAACAAGAAGGAAAGACTGGGGCTGGAGCGATAGCACAGCAGGGAGGGCGTTTGCCTTGCACGTGGTCAACCCGGGTTCGATTCCCAGCATCCCATATTGTCCCCCGAGCACCGCCAGGAATAATTCCTGAGTGCAGAGCCAGGAGTAACCCCTGAGCGTCGCTGGGTGTGACCCAAAAATAAAAAAAAAAAAGCTTGGCACTGGTGGGGGGATGGGTACTCATTGTATAATTGAAACCCAAGCACACAAATTTGTAAGTCACAACTGTATCTCATAGTGTTTCACTAATAAAAATTTTAAAAAATACATTATTGACCTGCAAGTTAACTTTTCTCTGTGCCATTTGTAATTTATTTGTAAATTATAGTAAAATATGACTCCTAATTAAATTGTCTTGCACGAAGTTGACAGCTGAAATACAGCTCATGTATAAATATTTTCAGTCCACTGCAGAGTATTTTCTACCAAAATATTAAAAGGAATCTTTTTCTAAAAAAAAAAAAGCTTGAAAAATGTAATCCAGTATGTAAAACTTCAGAGAGAACATTCATACACCAAAACAGTGATGTCCACAACGTAAAGAATGAGCTTATAAAAAAAATCATCAAATACTGAAAATTTTGAAATGAGAGTGTAGTAAATGGGTACTTGAAAAAAATTAGATACAAGTTATTTTACTTGCCACGTGTTTAAAAATCTATTTTTTTAATTATCATTTTTGAGGGCCACACCCTATGATGCTCAGGGGTACTCCTGGATCTGCACTCAGGTATCACTCCCAATGGGACTGTCAGGAATTAAACCTGGGTCAGCTGTATGCAAGGCAAGGCTCCCTACCCGCTGTGCTATTGCTTTGGCCCCAATTTTTCAAAAATATCTTTGATACAGCATTCTTCTATTAGTAAATAAAATAACTGCACATCAGAAGCTGGGTGGGCATACAAAAGCTGAGTACGCTTAGCTTAGTATGTTAAATTGTTTGATTTTTGTTTCCATGTGACATATAAAATCAATGTAGCACTGTCTGTAGCACTGTTCTCCCACTGTTCATCGACTGGCTCGAGCGGGCCCAGTAACATCTCCATTGTGAGTGCCACATACTATGATCCACCGGGATTTATTTTAGGGATACAAGGATGGTTCAACAAAAACAGAATCTTTGCAATAAATACATCACATCAATAAAACGAAGGCTAAAAACCCTAGATAGAGGAATAGCACTGGCCAACATTCAGCACCTTTTATTTACTTATTTTAAACTTTTAAAAAAAATGGATATAGGAGAAAAGTACTTAAATACATAACAAAGACCAAATAATGACAAACCCACAATTAGCATGGTAGACAACTGTGAAAACTGAAAGTCTTTCCTCTAAAGATCATAAACAAAACAGATGTCTGCTGCCACCACACATGAAGTTCTAATCACACAATCAGACAAAAGACTTCCAAACAGGAAATCCACCTGCAAATACCTGCAGATGATTTGCTTTATTGCAGAGAAAATCCTCAGACTGAAATGAAAAACTGTTAGAAATAATAACTTAATAGAAAAGTTCAGGTTGCAAAATCAATATTCAAAACCCAGCTGGATTTCTATAAACAATGAACAAGATAAGAGAAATTATTATTATTTAGAGATACACCAAAAGGGATAGATTATCTGTGCATATTCATAAATGCCTAAACGTAACTAATTCTCTGCACACAGAGAACTATGTCATTACTGAAAGAAGCTGAAAATACACATACACACACACACACACACACAAATTTCATGCTTATGAACAGGAAGAATTAGTACTATAAAATGACCATTTTACCTAACGCAATATACAGATTAGCTATCATCCCTATCAAAATCTCAAAAGCATATTCACAAAATTACAACAAGGTGGGGGGTGATAGCACTCTGGGGAGGGGACCTGCCTTGCACACAGCTGACCCAGGTTCATTCCCTGAGCACTGCCAGGAGCGATTACTAAGTGCAGGGCCAGGAGTAAGGAGTAAGCCCTGAGCACTACTGGGTGTGGTGCAAGCCCCCCTGCCCATCCCCAAAGAAAAGCATCTAACTTACTTGAAAGCACAAAGGCCCTCACCTCCACCTATACAACTCTGAGGAAGAAACAGAAGCAAAAACAAAAACAGAAGTATCCAATGCTCTTCAACCTCAAACTAAAATACTACATGGTAACAATTAAAATAATCAAACACAAAGATCAAAGGTACAGAATTGAAAGCCCAGAAATAAAACAGACATATGAAGAAATCATTTATAGCAAAGGAGCTAAGAGCAAGGAATAAGGAAAAGTTCTTCAAAATACAGTATCACATTGTCACATGCAGAAAAATGAAGGCCACTGTCTTAGGCCATACACACAAAATGAAAATGAACAGGAAGGGACTGGAAAGATGATCCCGTGGAAGAGGGCTTGCCCTGCGTGCAGCTTACCCAGGTTCAATCCCTGGTACCCCATATGGTCACCCAAGCACCACCAGGAGTGATCCCTGAGCACTGAGCCAGGAGGAAGCCCTGAGCACTGCTGTGTGTGGCCCCGAAACCAAAATACATGAACTGAGAAAGAAACCAACATCATAACAAAAGGAAATCCACAGGATGGAAAAATAAAAGAGCAAATCATGTATCAGGCAATAATATTAAAAAATGACAAACTCACAGTCAACCAACAACCACCAATTAAAAAGAGGAGGAGGCACTGAAAAAAAAAAAGGTATACATGAAAAGGTAATAGATCTCACTGCCAGGGAAATGCAAATCAAACAAGAATCACACTACACCTATTACAATGGCTATTTGAAGCAAGTGTTGGCAAGGATGCAGAGAAAGGAACCTTTGTCTACTGCTGGTGGGAATGGAAATGGGTGCCGCTGGTATGAAAAACAGCATGTAAGGGCCTCAAAAAAAGAAGATCCACCGAGGTCCTGGGTGTAACCCCTGACACTGTCTGCCCGCCGTAGGCCCCTATTTAAAAAGCAACATTTGGGGGCTAGCAGCAGTACAGCGGGTAGGGCGTTGGCCTTACACTAAGTGGACCTGGGCTTCAATCCCGGCATCTCATTCGGCCCCTTGTGTACCGCCCGGAGTTCCCCCAAGCACTGCTGGGTGTGGGCTTGCACTTTCTCTCTTTTCCTCCCCTTATTCCCCAAAGAAGCCTGTTTAAGAAAAAACAAGAACCAAGACTAGAAACACCAACTATCCCAGGTATTCTCCAACTCTCCCAATACTAGGTGCTTATCCATTGATCAGAAACACGACACGAACCACCTCATCTATCTACGCATGAGTCACAAGAGTCAGGAACTGAAAACTCCCTCAGTGCTGAAGACGGATGTGTGGATAAAGGAGACGTGACATTTTCACACACGGGATCCTACTGAGTTATAAACAAGACGAAACCCTCCCAGCTGCAGCACAGGTAGGCCAAGGGGGTGCCATGCCTTCAGACGGAAAAAGAGAAACAGCATGTAATTTCACTCAGACCAGCGAGACAAACAGAATGAACGAACAGAGAGACTGAAAGACAATTAGACTATAAGAACAAAAGCCTCGTTTTCAGAAGGGAGAGGTGGATAAAGTGAGGGGGAAGGAATAAGACATGCCAATTATGTGGCCAGAGATGGCAACTGGGACTGCTGATGACAAGTGCCTGTGGTATAGACAGACACTGATCTCTACCTGTGAAACCGATGAGATGTTCTAAACTAGTATTATTTCAATCTATATGAATGAATGAGCAAGAAGAGGGAGCAATTTCAGAAGCCCACAAATGACTAAGCAAGAGGTTCCACTGACCACAGCACAAAACCTGGTTGTTTTTTTTTTTTTTTTTGCTTTTTTGGGCCACACCCGGCAATGCTCAGGGTTTACTCCTGGCTCTGCACTCAGGAATCACTCCTGGCGAGGTTTGGGGGATGATAGAGGATGCCAGGAATTGGACCCAGATCAGACACATGCAAGGCAAATGCCTTACCTGCTGTACTATTGCTCCAGACCCCAGAAAACCTTTTATTTCATGGGTGCTGCTCAGTAATAAGAAAACATAAGCACTAGCTCACTGGCAACTCTGGTCCCATCTAACAGAGCTTAAACTGCAAAAGAAAGAAGCTGTTTTCAAGTACCTCAACTGCAACCACCAGCATATTCCTAGGAATTAGAAATACTCAGCAACTTCAGAATGTCTAGCACCCAGTGAAACACGTGGAAGGTGAGGGACACAGTGTTGAGAGCCAAGGCACAGGTCTTGCTGACTAAGGCCCTGGGGTCCATCCCTGGCCACACTCCCCAGAGCACCAGAGGTGGCCTTGACCCTCCTTTTCTAGCACTGCCAGGTGTGACCCTGATGGGCCTCCACCAAGTACCACCACAACCAGCAAAGCATCAAGAAAATATGTCCCCCAAAGTGAACTGCTATGAGATAGTTACAAAGACTTAATGATTGGGTTTTAGTCATACAATTTTCCAATACCCATCCCTCCACCAGTGCACATTTCCCACCATTTTCCAGTTTCCCTCCTGCCCCCTCCCACCGGCCTCTCTATGGCAGCGCTCTCTCTCTCTCTCTCTCTCTCTCTCCTTCTGCCCCCCTTGGGCATTATGGATTACAATACAGATACTGACGGGCCGTCATTTTTGGTCCTTTGCCTACTTTAGAAGAAACTCACTTCACATGAATATGCTGAAATAAATGAGAATAGAAATTTATAGCAAAAAAAAAAAAAAGCTCACCAAAGAAATAAAAGACATAAAGAAGCGCAGAGAAAGATTCAGTGAGCTTCATCAGAAATGACCCGCTACGAACAACAGAGGGGAAATCGATTGGCAGAGGAAAAAGCTGAGTCTCAGACTTGTGGGACTATTAAAAAAAATCTAACAGGAGAGGCAAAATATGGCATGACTGATATAGTATTAGAAGAAGTCATAACTGAAAATTCATAAAAACACAGGCTCCAGAAGCTGAGCACAAGTACTTATTCCATAAGCAGAATGTGTCCATGCCAAATTAAAGCATAGAAAGCTAGGTAAAAAAAATTCCTCAGACCAGAAAGAAACAGCACATTAACGACATGGGAAAATAAAGAGAGTGATTTTCTGATCAAAACCTAAGGAGACGAGAGGGGAAAGGTACAGTTAGCATGTGCTGGGAAAAAAAATAAAAAGAACTGTCAATACAGAACTCTGTATTCAGTGAAAATATCCTTGAGGAATGAAGGGCAGTTGTGGAGAGTGGAGGAATCAAGAAATTTCCAGATTAAGGAAAACTGAGAGAATGTTTCTGTGAAGAGCAACCGTGCCCTACAAGACTCAGAGGAAATTCTCTACACGTAAGATAGGGAAAGAAGAAAGCACTAAACTGGATACAAACAAAACCAACTCAAGTGTCCTGAATGTGTACCCTAACCAACTGTGCAGAGGAAGGTCATTCCCACTACTACACAACGTGTTCTCAACGGCGGCTACAACCACAAACAATCTTAAACTACTTTTAGTTGGTAAAGACAAACCGAGTAATAGAAAAGTAACTGGCCAGCATTCTTTAAAAATCTCAGTACAATGAAAGAAAAAGAAACTTAAAAACTTCTACAGCTTAAGGAAATAAAAGAGACTTAATGACAAATCAGTGTGATGCGTAACACCTAACAAGAATGCATCCTTTTATTGTAACCATGCCCAATTTCTAGCATCCATTAGTTGGACTAGTTATTTAGGAGAGTAACTTTATTCCTAGGAAATACACATATATAGACTGATGATATATATACACCTATCGATATGTAGACATACGCTTATACATGCATATAAGCATGATAATAAGCATATAAGCATAATAATATGCGAATACATGCCTTTAAATAATTTTAGGTATCTCATTTAAGAGAGTTCAGAAAAATTAAGTAAATAATGCATGTAAAATACATGATCATATATAAAATAGACTCCAAAGAAGTTGGGATGTACATAATAAGGAGACTAACTTACAGCCTGGGGCAATGATGGAAGAGTCATCTAGTCCCTAGTCTAAAGTAAGTGGGAAGAGAAAACAGCACAGGGGTTACTTGGATATAATGACAAAGAGAAAGTGGTGAAAAACCACTTAAAGGTATTCTTAGTTTAATGATAGGAGGAGAGATGGGTGGTTGGAAAAGGCAAGGGTTTAAACTAGATTTCCAGACGTTAAAATACTAATGTTTAAAAAAAAGACTTGAGGGCCAAAGACGTGAAAGGAATTTAAAGTGGTAAGGGTCACAATTCAATCAGCTTAATCAATGGCTTGAATAAATCGCAGTACTCCTGCGTTATTAAAAAGAAAAAAGTGGTAAGGGTCAGTACTGCCCACTTCAAGATCAGCACTGGCCTGAGTCCCCCGTGCCCTATGCGCTCCTCTGTGGGGTCTGTTCCAAGAGGGGCTACACATCTCTGAAAACCTCTCCAGATACCGCCTGCCAGGTAGAAACATTTTCCTGTGATCCTACTATGCCCTATTGCCTACATCTGTCATCTAATCCACATAAAATGAACATTGGTTGAGTGAATTAATGACTCCCCAAAACCTGAACGGACTGGATGTGAGAATATGAATCAAGTGAATGAAATCGACTTAACGAAAGAATGGCAGAAGAGAGTTTACTTTCTGTAGGAAGTTTCTGAAAAAATACAATAAGGCATTGGCTTAGGATTCAAAGACTATGAAATAGGATTCTTTCTAGTAGATTTTGGTCAAAGAAATATGCTTACTGTACAACAAGCTGCTGGCACACGGTTCCATTCTCTGTTATCAGTTCATTCAGTTTTAATTCAAGGTGAACTTTGCCCTATAACGACAAAAAATTACAGTCATCTATTTTTTCACAAAACACTAAAGATATGTATTTTCACGAGTAATGAAATAGTTATCTACTAAATACTGGCGATCCTTAGCACATACCTTTGTCCACACGAACACTATCTATACTTGTTAAATTTAATACTTAGCTACCTGTTAACTAAGAGCCAACAATATAAAACACAATTTTTGAAGAAGCAGATACTTCAAACACGGTATTCAAAGTAAGAATTTTATGCTTAAATCAACAATGCTATGGATCTCAATTATCCTGGATCCAAAAATATATTCCACACTAATATTTTGGGAAATTTTGAAAGTAAAACAAATTATAAAACATTAGAATGATTATCCCAGAAAAAATAAAGCACAATCATCAAGACAAATAAATCATGCAATTCTGAAACAATTAAAGTTTAACTGTTAAAGCTAGCAAGTCTCAGTCTGCTAACCCTTTAATCAGAAACTACCGGCCGTGTTAGGAGGCACTGTAGGAGCGGCAAGGAATCTGCAGACACAGAAGGCAAAGGCATGACTGAGCAGCCCACAGTCTGGCTGGGGAGACAAGAAGCTAACGACAGCAACATAGAGTCAAGAGGATGAGTGAAAAAAGGTGAGATATTGGAGATATTGGAAACTCTCTCTCTCTCTCTCTCTCTCTCTCTCTCACACACACACACACACACACACACACACACACACACTCTTTTGGGCCGCACGCAGCGGTGCTCAGGTATTACTCCTCACCCCGTGCTCAAGGATCACTTCTGGTGGTGCTTGGGAGACCATATGTGACACCAGGGACGGAACCTAGGCCCATCACATGCAAGGTAAGTGCCATACACAAGTGTACCGTCTCTTCCGTCCCAAGAATACTACCTTTCCCCCTTTATATTTTGGTTTGGGGAGTACATCCACAGGTACAGAGAGGACATGTGGGGCTGGGGAACGAGCGAGGCCTCCCTCATGTAAAGAATGTGCCCGGCCCGCTGAGCTCTCTCCAGCCCAGGAAGGCTTTAAACTTCAGGACAGTACATTTAAAGCAGATTATCAATTTACCCAGCAACAAAGACTTAGGAACTACAGAACGGAAGAGCTTCATCCAGCTAACCAACCTGTCGCTAGTGATGAGGAATTCTGAACTGGCTGTGAGCAACTCTGAGCTGGTTGAGAAGCAGTGGGTGCTATACTGCCTCCGCCCAGCTGACACGACAGATTTCCAGGGTGCCAAATGAAGATTTCAGGGGTGTGAGGTGTAGGGGCTGATGACATAAGCAATTGCATCAGAGGCAGGAATGTTCATCATCCAGTCATGCTGCTCTCTGGAATGCCTCTTGTGGACAGTCACAGAATCTACTTTGAATCTGCAGATATGACAGAGTGAATCTGAGGAACAGCAGGCATGAGCTCAGATGAAGGTGGACAGCAAACTGAGCAAGAAGCATGAGTGGCCCCAACACGAAAGGTTGTCTGAGAAGCAAAACCGCAAAGACAGACAAACACCACTGGCAGTAAAATTAGCAGAGATGTGGAATTCGAACTGAACTCAGCAAAACTTGCACGAAAAATCTAGACAAATATTTATAAAGTCACATGTAAGGGACAGGAGAGTGCAAAGGGCTGCGCATACATCCTACTGCACGAGGCCTGGGTCCAACTGGGCTGGGTGTGACCCCCACAGACAGAGGTGCCAAGAAAGAGCTCCTAGTAGCACTGGGTATCGCCCCTTCTCCCTCACACGCCATTTATACAATGACCTTTTGTTAGCCCCGAATTTAATACTTTACAACCCCTGCTCATTAAGAGTGTCACCAAGGTCAGTAATACTTGAAAATAATCATTCTGGACAAGAACTGAGTGTTGAAAGTAGGCAAGGGGGTAAAGGGATATACCTGATAACCTTTCATTATCTGTTTTGCAAACCATAAGGCGAGAGGGAGAGGGAGAGGGAGAGAGAGACTGAGACAGAGAGAGAAAGTACCTACCAAAGAGGTGGGCAAGGAGGTGGGGTGCAGAGGGCGGGAAGGAAACTGGGACCACTGGTGGTGGGAAAAGTACACGGGTTAAGGGACGGGAGTTGGGATGTTGCATGACTGAAACCCAATCATGGACAACTTTTGGAAAAGTGTTTATCACCGTGATTCAATAAAGAAAAAGATTTTTGTTTTTTAAAAAAAAGAGCGTCACCAAGGTACGTCATAGAGCAATCTATGTTACCAATGACCAGAATTCTAATTCACGTTTGCTGTTACCAGGACGCATCTCGCTTGACCGTCAACTGCTCCAACTGTTGCTATCTCACAAACTCTTTTATTTTCGAGGTGCTGGGGATTGAACCCAGAGCCTAACACTCCACGTTTAAAGCAGTTTTATGGTTCCAATATGCATGACAGAATTGCAGACTAGCAGCACTTCTAAAGTCTCTCACAAAATGTCTAGGATCTACTAATTCTCTAACAATCACAAATTTTAGAACGGGGAAAAAGTATTCCAATTTTATGCAAAACAAAAAAATCACAGTACTGTATCTAGTCATGCCTAGGAATAAGAAGGTATTTAATGGTCTACTACCAGGATCATTACCACTGAGTCAGAGACTACCTAATACTTTTATTACACCCACTGACTGTTAAATAGAACATTCTTTTGGTATTAGCTAACAATAACATAATTGTGTATTAACCTGGTGGAGAAAAGTGGGGACAGAACAGGTATACACAAGATTTGTACTATTAGGGTAAGACACTAAAATGAAAAAGCACTGAGTAAAATTAGAGATATTATTTCTAAACTGTAAAACACTGTCTCATATACGCTAACATGAAAATATGATAATACTTAACCAAGGAAACAAGTTACAAAATATGGTACACATTAATTTGTAAAAATATACACACATATACACATACACGCACATACAAAATACACACATTTATATGTGTGTGTGATTTCAGAGATTTTTCTAATTGCTCATCTAAGGGATTTTTGTTTCTACCATCTTAGTTTACTTCTTTCTAGTAGAAGAAAATAAACAAATGGTTAAGTATTTAAAGGTTCTTTTCAGAGTTAAGAAACTGGTGAATATTTTAGAAAAAATTAATTCACACAAAATGTGTGTAGTTTTGGGGGCTGGAGCAATAGCACAGCCAAGTAGGGTGTTTGCCTTGCACGTGGCCGACCCGGGTTCGATTCCCAGCATCCCATATGGTCCCCTGAGCATTACCAGAGGTAATTCCTGAGTGCAGAGCCAGGAGTAACCCCTGTGCACTGCTGGGTGTGACCCAAAAAGCAAAAAAAAAAAATTGTGTAGTTTTATCTATAATGATCATTCCTGTATATATTTGGATAGTTGACAAGTTTTGGACTGGAACAGAGTAATGAGTCCAGAAAATATCTCCTTGTGGCCAGGGACAAACAGTTCAGTGTATAAGCATGTGCTCTGCATATATGAGAGCCCTGAGTTTCATTCTGCCACATGTGTGTGAAAACACACACACTCTCACTCTCTCCCTCTCTCTGTCTCTCTCTCTCAAGCAAAGAGAAGGAAATAAAATAATCTTTTCCAGTCTCCACAAGGCAAGGGAGAGGTGGCTGAGGACAGCAAACATATATGGTGCTCAGTGTGATGAAGATGGAAGTTTGCTAGTGGGACACCCCGATGCCTGGTGAAAGGGGCCCCCTAACTCTGCAGTGGCTTCACCAAAGCTCTCAGTACAGCAGCTAGTGCACGCAGCTGACCTGGGTTCAATTCCCGGCATCCCATATGCTCTCCCCAAGACCATTAGGACCGATTCCTGAGTGCAAAACCAGAAGTAACCCCTGAACACTGCCAGATGTGATCCCAAACAAAAATACTTAACAAAAAAAAGCTCTCAGTGTTCTCGTGATGCTGGGCTAAACAAAACTGGAGTCCCTGCCTCACCAAGGCAGAACAGCACTGGCCACTACCGCGGCCTTCTGAAGGCACGTCCAGAGGCATCTGTGTGGAGGAAGAGACTTCAGAGGCTAATCCTTCCAGCAGAGGCTGAAACCTAGCCATTTCTGAAATCCATCAGGTTCCGTCAAGGTGATCTGCCTCTAAGTGAATCTTTGGAGGAAAACAACAATCCAGAAACTCAAATTATCTCTAAGGTATCTGATTATTCGACATCAACATTCCATGAACAATTCTGCTGCAGATAAAAAAAAAATCATATATCAGCCCAAGCAGATTTCCAGGAGGAGCAGCTGTTGGCGCAAACTGACAGGTTGAAACAGCTGTCTAGGATTGAAGTTATCTGGCCCTTTTTAGAAAAACCTCTTGGAAGTCTACCTACATTCTTGAAGTGACCTAACAGAAAGTGCCTGTCCCTGTCCCAGCTAATTCTGTTCCCTGGATTGTTCCAGTGCCCTCTTACCCCACAGGGGGTGGGGGCAATATTGCCCACCTTGGCAGATACTGGTCTAGGGACTAAGGATGAGTCTCAGAGGTAGAGTTCATGCCCTGCTTGTGCGGTGCTAGGTTCACCTCCTGGAGCAACAAAACTGCCAACTACCATTTTTTCCATATAAAAAATTAAAACCCCAGCAAAGAGCTAGAAACTATATCATGAATGACATTTTAAAACAAGAGGTAAAAAGCTGAAAGGAAGATATATTTAACAGCAAGTTAGTCACAGCTAAAATGAGGGTGGGTGGACTGGGAGACAGATTGGTCAGGAGAAAAGTGACAGATGAGATGTGGGAAAATGGGTGCCTGAGACTGGGGCCCCGGAAGAGACAGAACAGAGAACACCCAGGGAGGCTCCATGTAAAGGAAACACAGGCAGAGCCAAACTGCTGAAAACAGAAGAGAAACAGAACAACCTGAAGGCGACGGGACAGAAAGAGACATTACCTACACTTAAGTAATAACACAATTCTGACAAGAAACCATAACTGTTGATATACATGTGATGTGATTTGGTCCACGAAATCTAGCCTGAAATTCCTGTTATTCAGTCTCCTATG